TCTTCGGATGACGTAAAGTATAGAATCTCTTTTTTCTTCCTTGTTCAACGATGCAAGCAAAACAAACCCTAGTTCGATTATAGGCGGATAATAAGGTTTGCTGTTATTCTCTTAAGCGATCCAAACACAGATAAGGCTCTGTTTTCACTACGGTAGAGCCTTTTTCTTCAACATCCCCTTTCAAATCATTTCTTCAAAGAATAAATTTTGAGAATTTTTTGTAGAAGGTTACCTTCACCCATGGGCTAATCTTCTCTTCAGCAGCTCATGTCATAGGGATTAGAAGTACAAGACGTACAAAGAGACTTGCATATGTAAAGAGCTTTTTTCGACTTTCGAAAGGAAATGACGTTGGATGGAGTAAAAAGCTCAAGTTTGCGTGAACCATGATTCTTTTGGATTTTTTGAACATTTCAAACCTTTTTCAACTTAAATCTGTAAGCAACCGGCATTTCGTGCTGTCTTCTGTAAGAATTTTAGTCATTCATTTTTTTGGTTATCTAAGTGATTTTTACCAACTGCTTCCTACTGCAATGTAATGTTTTTCAAACCCGATTTTTTATAGCTCTTATTATTGATACATTCCTCAGCTTCTCTCCTTCAAGCGTGTCCCCAGCAGCTGCTTATTATTCTTAGCATTGTTTATGTGAAATTCGTGTAGCAACAAAAAGTCTATGAGTACTTGTCAGTTTCTCTAAAACAATAGTTATAGAGAAAATGACGGGTAGAAAATGACGGGTAAGGATAGGAGCGAAAAATTCAAAAAAGTGTAAATTATCAGGGGTAGGTTTGAAATGTATTTTGCAAAAATTGACTTATGCAGAGAGTTTGCAAATGGTACTGTGTGGATGCAGAGTCTAGGGAACATAAAGGCATTTTTTGTACTTAGAGATTAAAATATTCCAAATCATGTAAATCATGTACCTTCTTGCTCCAGTGAAAAAATGACAATTTTTTTGCAGCAATGACATAGTCGACACATCGCTGTCATCACAGTACGGTCCTGAATCATCAGCTGAAAGTAGCTTGGATGTTCCCTCGTTGAACCATTGAGTGAAAAAATTTGATGAATGGAGATAGAATTATGTTCGTAGATGCTCTCGATAAAGTGCCCATTTGGTATTACTTTGGCAGTAAGATAAGCATCGTCGAGTCATTACTACATTAATATGGACATTGCACGGGACGCGCGCTACCTTACGACTTCTGCAGTTATAACCTATTAATTTTCAGGTAATTTCCCTTGATGCCTTTTCTCTTATGTATAACTAAATCTGAATTAGTAGTACACGATTCTTTGGTTTGTTTCGCCAGAAAAGCTTTCGCCCAGTTATTAATATAGTGTCGTCAGTTACCGCGCGCAGTCTGCAGGCTCACACATTAAGGTGCAATCGACTCGCGTAAATCTTGACAATTTCGTACTTGCAGAGCTCGGTCTTAATGCTGCAATCTATAAAATCCTTTTTCTTCCATTCACATTTGAAATAATAGCTAGGATAATAATAGAGATGCGCACGATTTGCATGTCTCCAGCATATTTGTTTCTGTGCTATGATTGCCTGCAATTTTATTGCTACTTTTTTCGCCTGGATTACACAGATTCCATACGCTCCAATCTCCCGGCGCGACAGGCTTTTTATTGTTCATAAATTATGACTCTTTTCGCAGTTGTGGCTACTGTGTATGCATAAATCTAATCAATCTTTCATTCAGGCAGTTTCACAAGCAAATGAATCAAAGTATGGCACAACAAGGTTTTATTACAGACATGAATTATATAAGCTACTCGTTTGTAGACACATGCATCTGAAATCTAATTTTTAGCCTCTCTAGTCCTAAATCATTCTCAAATTATTCTCTATTATGCTTTTATTTCTACACTGTGGCAAATCTGTGTGCGTTTCACTTACTTCACTTACTACTTTTTCTTTTTTGATAAATTCTTAATAAATAAACAAACAACTAGAACTTGAGACACAGCTGGTAAAATACTTTGAACGTGGAGTATTTCCATTACCACAGCAACAATATTAGCACATAACAGATTATAGGGTACCCCCTATACTTCTTTTTTCCCGTTCTTTTTATAAATCACTCCAACTTCTTTGCATCGGATTGCGGTTGTTTCTAGTTTTTCCTAGTTTGGTTATTCACTTGTTAATCTTTCTAGCTTTACTTTATTTCCTCATTCTATAATTTAGTTATAGACCATTTCTACATACTTCCCACCCCACCTCGCTGTATATTGCTTAACAAGAATAATTGGCATTATAACAATTACAGCTTTACGTCATTAGCAAATCCTCTTAGATTTCGTTGCTACCCCTGTGAGCATATAGACAATCTCAACATTTTATACATTTCTGTTGATGACGATCTATGACGCTTGTTAACAACACTTTAACATCATCAGAGATGTAATTTTTTCTAAATCTCGTATAATTCTGACAACAGCACAAATTAATTTATGAGGGAGTTTCCAGGAACATGTAAATTGTGCTTAACCTAACTGCGGCAAAGAAAATTCTTTTTACAGCACATTAAAGCTGTAAAAATGGCGAAAAAATATTTAGGAATGTTCTACAAATATCGTCCGAAAAGATAGTGTTAATGTGAGCGGAAGGGAATGGCAGTGAAATTTTCCTTTTCATTAGTTCCCAACATTCGAAAAATGGTTTTCTTGATTCATGATGTTAACGCGCATTTGCACATCAATGATGCGCAAAGTTTTTATTCGACACTTTCAGCGAACTTCTATACTTCAATCAGTCACCTTCCTTATAAATATAAGAATCGTTCTATCCAACCTTAGGACCTACGATTTGTTCGATCAGATGCTCTCCAGCTCTCTTCATTTGCAATTTAATACTGCAGTCATGTAGATTTGAAAGTTGCACTTTCATACTTTCTTTCAGCATTTTTCTATCTCATATGTCAATGTCGATAAAACAAGATCATTATCTTTTCACTCTCTTTTTTACTTTTTATGTCTACTATGACTGGATTAATAATATAAAATAAGATATTTGCCTTCCTTGTGCGCTTCCAAAGTTCAGTCGCACTTTTGAACTTTCTTATATTTAGTTCATGGTTGAATATCGATAGTCTAATCCCTTGCATTCATACAAAACCTCGGAGTATCCTAATATGGCGTATCTAGCAACGTTAATGCATTCATCATAAAAAATGATGCAGAAAAAACTCCTCTAACATTTGCGCTCTGAAAATGTCTTTTAACAGTTGAAGATTTAGCTACTATTTTGATGCTATTAGCATCACTTGTACAGTTTTCCGTCACCTTCTAGGAATGATTATGAGAAAAGTGTAGGAAGTTTCTGTCATAGATCCATAAATCTCTTGCAAATCTTCTTAATGTCAAATCCTTGCTTAGAAGCGTCCGATGGCGTTTCAACATAGCCTATCGAGATCGTTGCTTTTCTGAAGCCTGCAGCATGGCCCCGTTTTCTTAAGAAAAACCTCATTTTTTTCCAGATGGATAAGTCACCAAATCTGAAATAATTATTCATATGTAAACAACAAATATACATTTTTGTACTAACGTCTTGTATAAGTATGTAATCATTTGTTCGCCTTTTATGATCTTACTCATCATTGCCTTATTTCCGCCTGCTGAAGGAGAAAACTCTAAGATTTTTTTACACAAAAAAATTCACTAAAAATTATCATGTTCTTACACTAACTACCCGTCTTCCTTCGTCCCGTCCTAACAAAAATCACTAAAACAGTTTTTCATATTGTTGGCTACCCCAAGCAATTTCCCACGGTTTAATTATAGAAATACATTTGGTTTTGGAATGATTTAGCTATTGTTATAGTTCGCATTATATGATTATATCTATTTTTACCACTACAAATGCATTTTCACAGGGGTTTCACGTGATTACAAATATTTGTTTGCATAACGATGTGACTTGCATGGGTAAAAAATAGACATCTGCACTAATATAGTCATAGAAATCACATCTATTATATATAGAGCATGAACTCAATTTTGTTGTAATTTCATTGTTAAGTGCAAAATTAGTCATTCTCTTCCATTTGTACTTCCGACTACATACAAGCTCCTGTTTTAAGCTTCTTTTCTAAATTTATGCTTTTTGTGATTGTACGAAGTCTTTCTATGATTGCGGAAATAATGTTTCACATACTACTACTGACAAAAGAACTTACAAAATGTCGAACTCTTTTGCAACTTCATTCCGATTCGTGTTCTGAAGAAACAAGGCCATTTCCTGGTCTCCAAGGATTCAGAAAATTTCTCAGAATCGATTTCCCATTGCTGTAATGTATTTGGTAATTAGTGAAGGACAGAATAGAGTTCGACAATTTCGGTCTCCTTTCGCACATCGTATTGGACTGGATCGCACTTAAAGTGAATTGCGCAAATTTCTTGAAAAACTATAAAGACGTATGTAGTCAACAAGAATAAATGGATTATAAGACCATTGTATTCTCCAACATTGAAATCAAACCGGTTTCGAGGAGAATGGGATGCGTCACTAAGGATCGAGAAATTTTACTGCAAACAACAGCGAAGTGCAGATGTACCGCTGAGATTGTAATCTAGTTCTAGACCAGAATTTTTCATTTTTTTGCAAGCATTTCTATGGTCCATTACTTGTAGCAGATGTCAGTTCCTAATCGAAGCATGTCATTCAAAAAAATTCAGATCTTTTTCAAAAAATATTTACAACTTATCAATCATAACCATAAATAGATAATAATGTTTGTAATAATGATATTATAATTCGAAAATTCCCTTTCGTTTCTATCCTTGTTCCTTTCCTGATGTTCCACATCCCATCCTAAAATAACTCCTCGTAAAATATTTTCCATCTCGATTTAGTATTCCCATTCACATTTTATTCACATTTTATATCTCCTCGTCTTTCTCACACTTTTTGTACTTAGGAACACTATGTGCACTTGTTTGCGTGCTCTTATGAAAGTACATAGTATGTAGTAATCGAATAATCACTCTTTCCAGCATGACCGTCGGGTTACAGCCAAGTTGTAGCGAAATACCGTCAGTGTTGCCAGCTCCAGTACGGGATTTTAGCAAACGGTTCAGTGTGCCAAGACAATTGTCAGAACATCGAGTAACGATTAGACCTTATGAAAGCTTCAGGTTGGTTAGACCTTGATTTTAATTCCAACTGTTGGAAATTCTTGGCAAATGTGGGCTGAAGAGTATAGCCGGTAATGTTGTCATTGAGTCTTTTGACAAATTTTTTTTCTGCAAATTTATTGATCACCCTATTTTCGATAGAATCATTTGGTTCGAATCAACCGAAAAAAGTTTTTTTTGCTCTTGATGGTGCTTAAGGCAAAACTAACAAACTGATAGAAGGGACATAACACATTTTCTAGTTTAGCTACAAAATATATTTATATAAGTTTTTTCCAAATTATTTTTTATTTTTGACCCACCGCTTTCAAGAAACGTACGAACTGACCTGTCGTTCGAACAGAGTTATGATTTTCGAGTTTTCCTTTAAAATTTTTTGCTTTATCGTAATAAGTTCTGTGATTAAGAATTGAATATTTTTTGTGCCTATTGATTCCCAGCATTTTCGACGAATTCAATATATTTCGGTGCAAGACACATAGAACATCCTATTATCGTATATAGCTGCTCTGAGGAGGAGGATACAAAATTGCCTCATTTATTTTTAGGCTCAGACCTGTAATTACGAACACCTGGAATTAGGCACCCCCATAAAAAATCGGTATATAAATCTCACTCAAAGAAAGAAACGCTCAGTTCATTTGCTAGCAGCAATAATATTGTCTTCCTGTTATTTTAGTCGTGTAGCTGCGAAATTACTTTTGCTGTAATCTATATAACTGAATTTTCAAGAGCTGTGTAGGATCTGCATAGAATAAGAATAAGCCTACGAGCAAAAATGGACGAAGGAAAAAAAGGCAATTTTTAAAGTCATTCAGTCTTTTTGCTGTCCTCAAAACTTCAATGACAGCAAGTTTACAGAACAAAAAAAAATGAGATTTTTACTTCCTCAAACATTTACATCCATAAGCATAGCTCAAGATCAACCCGGAAGCCAGTCGTCATCTGTCAAATGCATTTCCGTAGAAAAAAGTGAGATGCCATCCCCTCTCAATGCAAACAAGATCCCGTTTATGACGTTTATCTTTATAAAGTTTGCTAAATTCTGAAAGAGCTTTAGTTTCATGATTGAGATCACGAAACTTTCTTTCGCTAGTTACTTGGCTTATGAACCCTTGACGAAGCTATTATGGTGAAGCCATGGGTGTAAACATCCGTATTCGCGATGATGTTGAAGAGATTAATTTACTTTGATAGCAGCTTACCTTAACAACGGGATTATCACTGCAAATTAGCGACACTTATTTCCTACCTAGGTTATCTCATCTTGTTCACTTCATATAAATTACAACGTCAGCTACTGTATCGCTTATTTTTTTCACTAATGGTACAACCAAATCAACAGTGAGTTAACGATGTCTGCTAATCAAAGAAAAAGGGAACAACATGACTAATATCCATGGCTGCTTTTTGAGCTAATGATAAGCGAGATTACTCAATTTTTGTACAGCACTTGATGTGTTTTACAGTTTAAATTTTCTACAGTCGGTATAATGTGTAATGTTGCATAGCGTTCACGCATAATTTCAAACCACAATTTCCTAGAACGTTCATGTAATTGCGGAGATCTGCAAAATTCCATTTCTACCTTCGTCCAAAATCTCCATGGCTTTATTTGCATATTGAGTCGTAGATGCAAAAGACTTAAGGGTAGAGCCCTTATAATTTTCCTGTCGAATTCAGAATAGCGATTACATTAAGGAAGTCTTGTTTTTCTACAATTTTCGAGTGTAACTTCCTTAGCTAGTCCTGCTGCATTAGTTTTTTTCAATTTTGCCAGTTTTTGAATATGAATTCGGAGGGTAAAACTTTTGTACGAATTCACCCGTAGAAAGCTGTTCGAGAATTATATGGAAGTAGCACAACCTCTTCTTGTTTGAGCATATTGAAGATCATTTTATGTAAATAAAGCGACGAAAAAGCGAAAAAATACCAGTGATCCAATAATAATTTTATTGACTCCTCGTATTGCAAGTCAGTTGATGAGAATTTTTATTTATAAATTAATAATTAAAGTGTGTGTACGTGCATATTTCAGTGAATGCTCCGACCTAATGATAGAAGAGCTGCAAAAAAACTTAAATTATCCGTTCAATCACCAAAAATGGGTAATCTTCCTGCAACCACAGGTCTCGTTCCTAAAACTCTCCCTCTTCTTATTTGCGTACAGTTATCACCTCATTCGCAAATTATAGTGTATACTGTAAAAGAAAAGCTTGAAGCATAAAGTTAATCTGCACTATCCCTAAAAACCACGAGTTCTGATGTTGAGAGGGTAAATAAGTAGAAATTATGCTCTCCACCTATGTTGTTATGGACATTGCATGTTTCTTCAAACAAAATGCTAGCCTTAGTGTTTAATGTCTGAGCCTTTGCCAGGAGCTAGAAAGTTAGTCTCTTTCTTGTCTAATTTTTCTCTAATCGTCAAAATGTATGCTAATCACCTTTAAGTTGATGAATAAACTATATTGATAGACTCCGAAGCATTTACTTAGTTGTGCTTGAGGCTATGCTTATTACGTATTCCTCAATTAGTGGATTAGCCTAGCATTTCGTATGATGCTACACTCGTAACTGCGTCATTAATTTCTACTTAGGCTTCTTTATTCATTTACGGTACATCACCTGTTTTCAAGATTGTCCTTTTAGTCACAAGACAGTTAAGTACAGAGTCTAGAGATAAGAGCAAAATTGAGAATGCTTAAATAACAGCTAATTAGAGATCTAATCTGTAAACCTGAAAATATTTTTGTAGTGTGTATGTTTTTCTGTACTCTGAGAAATAAATTTCAGGGATCGAAAAGACTCAGAAAAGCCACAAATCACGTTCGGGTTTGCTGCATTGAGTACAGATGGAGAGAGAAAGGAGAGTGGCGAAAACGGAAATATAGGTAAGAATTTGACAACGAAGTTTTCCAAAAGCTCAGATTTATGCACCATAATTTTTGTTCTGACTTTCCCTATAACTACAGTTAGAAACGAGACCCAGCCTTTGCAGTTGATGTTTGTTCCATAACAGATTGTTACCATTGACTTAATATATGCTTTTGATAAATGACGGTAATTCAGAAGAAGGTTAATAATTTTGAGACAAATTATTGCTTTGAAAGGCGCTGTTGTGCATGTTTTATTACTTCTGAAAACTTCTTATATGTGCACTTCCAGTAAAACTTTTGTCTTAAATAATCGTAGTCTGCTGAAAATGTGGCTTTTCACTAATCTATGGAAAAAATAAGCTCAAAATTTTGACTAAATATGAAGCTTTTTTATTTTGAGTGCAAACAAATTTCAATTGTCTGTTTGGTTATTGCTGGTTCTGACAAGATTATTTTAGCAGGCCGCGTTTCGCCTGCTCCTTCCATTTTTTCCATTTATGGCGATGATCCCGGACCGTCAACGGTGAGTTTAAGATGATCATAATATCTTTTTTAAGAAAGATGAGGCAAATCTCCTTTTCTTACGCTTGCTGCTCGCAAAACCTTGGTGATTATACATGTTGACGAAAAGAGTATGATTTTTAGAAGTCTTTCCATCGGTCTTTGATTGTATGCTGCGCTCTTTAACTAGAAAATATAGTAAAAAAAGAAAAAAAAAGAAAGTATCTGCCCTCATAAAGCAAATATAAATTTAGATATGCGAGCAACCAGTCGGCGCACAAGCCGACGTGTACATTTCGTCCCTTGGCGAGAAAAATCGCCATCTTCTGAAGAAATTTCTCGAAAATTCTCCACGCCAAGAAAATCAATACTTTATATGGATCAAAGATCACAAAACTAACAAGGTAAAGCTTAACATTTGGCTACTTTCTCAAAAATGATTTTTCTGTTTGCAGTTCACCATCATCTCTATCAAAACCCTTGAAAACCATCTCAATTCCACACATCGGATACGCCGCGTAAAATGGAGGCATCGCTCTATGGACCATGTTTCTATCTATCGATACAGTATCCCGTCCATCACCTATAAGAAGTCCAAAATGGCATGTGATTGTTTTATGCGATGGCGAAAGCTGTGGTTGTTAATAACATGGTTGACATTCATTCTATTCTTATGTATTATTGTTGTATTAGGCTCGTTAAACCCAGAAGACCGAAATCATCCCTATTTACACTATAATACTAGCACTACACAACTCACTTTACAAACATTACGTAATATCACTATTGGGTAGGTGATGACTGTTGTATTCTAGCAATAAGTAATAAATATTTGCTGCCTTTACATTCGATCTGATTGGGTATTTTTTATTTACCTTTGCAAGGTATCATAGCTTTTCAATACGAAGACCACATCATACAGAGTATACAGAGTGTCGCAAAAGTATTAGGTTGTTCCAAAAGTTCTACCCGTTTTCGATACCTTTTTTTGAACTGCCGATCTTGGAGGAAGAAACCATTTTTTACAAACAATGCTTATATCATCTAAAAGCTCTTTTTTTCTAATTTTTCAGACATACAATATTGAACAAATTAACGATGCTCTTCATTACTTTAGGATTACGGTAGAAGCTTCAAGAAGGGTTGCAAGCCATTAGAGGCCCTATCTCGCCTCAAAAAGCAAACTAAATAACCTGAAAGCTTTTATACTATGTCAAGTGTCCTCATACCAAATAAGAAATTTGCACTTTACCGCAATGCTTCGTTCATAAGTTATGCCAGGTGAACCTAGCTGTTTTTATAACGCTCCCTAAAATTGTGATTAAATCATTTGAAAGAATTCGCAAACTCGTGAAAAATTGAGTTATAAAATCAGCGTGCGCGAAAAACATAGCACATACACCACTTTTCAAATTTTCTGGAAACCTTTTTGAACTACGACTAGTTTACGATGACGCTGTAAGCTGAAAGTTCCTGTCATAATCCTAGAGTAATGAAAATCGATCGATGTTTTGCCCCATACGGCGAATCTAAGCTGAAGCCAGCTCTACAAAGTGGTGTCTGAAGGTAGGCAAAAATCTTCTTGTAAAAAAGAGATATTAGTGGTCAAATAGTGTATACATACTTCTGGGACACCCTGCCTTTCTCTCGATTAGTCTTGCTTTAAGCTTCATTTTTCTTACACGTTGAGTTTTGAAAACCCGCTTATTCAAATTTATGTTATCAGGAATTAGCTATGAAATTTGTGAATTTTTGAGCTCACGAATTCCATATCTTAAAGAGAGGACTCCAAATCCGGGTGCTATACAATTTCCATAATCGAATGAGTTACCTTGCTGCAGACTAAGGACCGAGTTTCAGAATTGCTAAATTATTCTCCAGGAATTGAGATTGTGGATGGAAACAGATTTTAGCACATAAAAAACCGAAGATATATTTGGATGCCTGATAATCTGTCCGCGAAAGGGTGAGTCTCATCAGAGAATTCTGAAGGTGAAGGGGAGGAGGGGAAGCGGGGGGGGGGGGGGGTTGGGGGGTCCCTTAGCATTCCTGCAAGTAGATTCCCATTTTTGATCAATACAGACCAAATTTAACGCATACACTTCAAGTGCGCTTTTTTGAAGTATTTTCTTGAGTTTATTGCTTTTACGCACGTCATGGTTTCCAAAGCGTCCAAGATGATAATCTTTGTTTCGAATAATTGATTTCAGCACTTCGGGGACAAGATCACATGGAGGGGTACCATTTTACATTTATGGAAGGGCTGCCATTTCGAGATAGGACATTTTAAAATGAAGCAAAGACAAGAATAGTAAAATACAGTCGAGTAGATTTTCCTCTTAATATAGTGTGCTTGCACAGTTTATGAAATGCGGTAAAATTTGCGCGTGAACAGGTAGCTACGCCAGCACTGCCGGCATTTTGCGCGCGCGATTGGCCAGTCGAAGGTAATTCTCACGCGCAAATTTTACCGCATTTCACCTTCTGTGCAAGCACACTATATTGAGCGGAAAATCTACTCGACTGTATGTAATGTTAGTTAACGCATCTCCTCCAAATAATAAAGTGTTCTACTTCTAACAGTATTCATGTTGCAGCTCGGTGGGCTCTGCGCCTCTTCCGAGGGTGCTCGGCTGCCCTACGCCTACTTTCCAACCCCAAAGGACTTCCGTAGATAAGGATGGGTTTAAAGCCCGTACTCGCGCGCCTACCCGAAAACACAAACACAGATACATACAAATTTACTCAACACACAATACAAAAATAGATACGGAAAAGGACTTATTACGGGGAGAGTTAAGCTTAACCCCGAGCTATCGATGGGACACTAGCTCACTCACATTCTCTCCCCTAGCACACTCTCACACCCAACTTCGAAGGAAGCTGGCCCACAGGTCGGCCACGCGTACCACCAAGCCAGCAGCGACGGCGCGACGTACGTTAACTGCACGGCGCTCAAACGGCTGGATTCGCCATGGAGAGTGGATTATGATTAGGGCAGATTTCCACATTTTCAAACCCATTTGCTTTTCCTTGCTTTCTTTGTCGCAGTTGCGCATTACTGCAGAAGGGAAAGCACTTTGCTCACATTTATAAATCTACGTCCAAACACTCATTTCGTGTTAACCACTCGCATTTTCGACGATAGTACTCATGTATCTCCACAAGTTTTTGTTCTTTTGCAAGAGCTGATGATGGCGTCAGTGTGTGCGCGGATTCTTTGTCTAAAAGTGACAGCTGGGAGCACCTGGGTAAGGCGATCAAAATTTAAATATCTTCTCTCTATCTTGCTGTATAGGTTCCTCCCTTTGTTCTTTCCAAAAGTTATCTTATGTGCCTCTTCAATGAACGCCTGAATAATGTAGCTGAGATACACGCTTTTCTTCTTCACTTTTTATCATGATTCAATTTTAGATTTCCACGTGTTTCCTTCATGACGAACCTGCGCTTCAGTATCTCGGAGAGATAGAGTGGATCCTGGTAGAGTGGATCTCCGAAGCTGCTATAGGTCGGGAGGCTTAGAATTAGCAATATTTTTATAAGGTAAGTATTTCGTTAGTGATCTTTAACATTTGATAATTACATGTGGTCATAGGTTGACGTTTGCATGCATGTCGTTGCTCTAGCGTCAGCTTTTATCTTTTTCAACTTTGTAGCTGTACACCACTATACGTGAGTTGTTGGTTCGCCTGACAAGTATTTAAGGGATCAACAACCCAACAATGTTAATTCTTTTGGATTGTATAAAGTGGAATAGCGCCCCTATCGTTGTGGATAGCTTATGTCGCCTTACAAAGGCAGCGACCGGGAAAACTTTCAACAAAGGCTAGTTTACTACCACCATCACAACATCTTCAGCCCCAACCAGGCCGGACACTGCTTTTAAGTGGAATTTGTTGTTGATTTATACTTCAAACGTTCGCTGAGCTGTTCAGTTGCACAGTCAGTGTTGGTATGTTAATAAACCTTCACTCCTTCATCGCTTCGTTCGAGGTTCGAATGCACATGATCCCTCCCCCTCCAAAGAGAAAAAACCCTCGCTGAGAAGGGACGCGTCATACTGGATGCTCTAGATGATTGCATCTTATCTGCCTATCTATTTTGAGAGGTTCTCACACCTTGCGTTGAGCATTATGAATACCAGAATATGGGGAGTTGGGAGCTAAATGCTGGGATTTTCGCTGCTTTGTGTGACCCCTGGTCCCTCAGAGTTCATGCAAACACAGCAAGTCAGCGTTGTTTTTTTTGAATCGCCTATTGCCATGAATGAGAACGTCGTGATCGTGAACTTGGACTTATAATTTGTTAGACATTGCTAGCCATGCGTACAGTACAATAAGTGAAATGTGGCGCGTCTCTAATCAGCATCCCTCCTTCCTCGAACGTGATGTACGTTGCGGGCCTTGATCGTCCTTGATCGCCTGATATGTATTGTTTTATCGCCAGTATTTCAACCATGGACCATGCCGTCGTACTCGTCGCAAATTTTGATTTTTACATGTGTAGGAGAAATCTTCTATATTACAGGGTATGTAAAATGATCACAAATCTTATTGCCACCTATGCAGAAAAGACATTGTTTGCGGAAAAACATGTACGCACACTTACGAGAAGTCATAGTTCTTCAGAGGATGTTGTAACAGTAGTAAAAAATACAATAGCACGGCGAAATTTGAAAAAAAATAGATGCACCCTCTTTGAAAAACCTGATAAGACAACAAAAGGTGCAGTGATCGCTCTTACTTTCCGCATTCTAGTTGTGTACAATTTAGCAGCCCATTTTCAGTCTAAACACCTTGTGAAGAAGAAACTATCGCAGTATCAAAGACCGAGCGAAACACCTTAACATACCCATCGTGCCGAGGAAACTTTCATAATCAGTTGGATTTCGCAAATCACTGCCAAACAGAGCACTGCGTCGGAGAAAAAACAACGGATAATACTTTCAGCAGCTGGGACGAGTTCGAGGTTTGTCCCACTAGTTTACGTTAGGTTCATTATTCTTGTTTTTTTCAGATGTGGAAAAAACCGAAAGAGTACGAAACTTACACTCGGTTAGTTAGAAGAGATACAAAACGGAGAGCTCATCATACTTCCTACCATCTGCTTTGTATGCACGCTGGCGCTGGAAGAGAGCAAAATATCGATCCGCAAGAGCAAAAAAACGCTATCATAGAAAGTTCATAGAAACTGTCCAGCATTCGCCAGAGTTGGCAACATGTTTGCATTCTTTCGTGGCATTTTGAACCGCGTTTCTAAGTGCAACACAATCATGATGGTTCTGTCAACGTATTATCATACTTTGGACACCTCGGCCACAAACTCAACGTTTCGGCATTTCGAATGTCGGAGGAAGAAGAGGAAGTAGTGAAAAGAATGATTATATCAGGAATTCCATATCAAATGGTTGATCCTCTTCCAATGCTTAAAGTTTCGGGTAGCATCCCTAACATTATACATAGTCATTAAATTGCGAAAAGATAACTGGATCGCAGGAAAATTGCAGAATCGCTGAACCGACTTTGCTTTGTCACTGTAGGAGAGTTGACGTAAGTCAGAAATATTGGAGTCTCATTAATCCGAAATTTCCAAGAATATCGCAGTTAAGAACAATCTCATCAATGGGAAATCTAGTTCTGACGACCGAATCTCACTCCGAGCTTTACTGGAGGAAAAGAATATAGCTGCGTCGAAATTGATCGATACCAACAATCCAACAGGAGATGGTTTCTCATTAGGTCGGTGCATTGCGCCTCAATCGCTGTTTAGGACCTCAAATTTAACCCTCTTATGGACCACCTTTTCTTTGTGACGACAATCGGCCAAGAATATCTTGCGCAGTATGCCCATCATGGGCTACTTATCGACACTATAAGACACGGTATTCCTTTCGCCTGGCCACATTGTCTGTGATTGATGACGCAGGAAACGGATATCCATGCGGGCACCTTATTTCATACTGAATGACATGCAAAGAAGAACGGCATCTGTTCAACCTTGTGAAGGTTTGCTTGCAACGCTAATGTATTTCTTACTTAAGTGAAGCATATAGAAATGCGTCCCCAATATTAATCCTTGCTATTTCATGAGAGATAATACATACACGTTTCTCAACGCTTTTAAACAAGTTTTCCCGGAATGTAATGCTGAAAGGTGCTGTGCGCCTTTCACATAGGACAGACGATGCAGAGGAAACATAAGAGTTGTTGTCAGTAAGTAAGCCCAAAGTTATTCACATCTTTACTGTGTATGTATTTATAGGGCCAATGTCGACATCGCAAATCGTCTATTTCAAAAAATTCTCTTCGAAGTTGACGTGGCCAAGTTCGAGAAGAATTATTCTGCATACCTCACATGGCTCACCGGCATTGGAGCGATACAAATGGTTACGGTATGCTTTCGAAACCTACTATGTGACAGACACCGTCAAACGGGTTACTTATTACATGAAAAAGAATTATTCAGACCAAGAAGGGAGTAGGCATCCTGCTGTCGGTGGGATGCCCACTTCACAACATCGAATCATCTGAAAGCATATAACTGTGTTTTCAAGCACACCTTATTGCGCAGTAAGCAAAATGGGAGAGAAGACAGTTTGGTCTATGCATTGCTCATGCACTCCCAAGATCGAGATTTACAGTTGGTTCTTTCGGTTAGTCCATTAGTACATGCTTCTGGTCAGTCTCTTTACCACTTCTTTTATAACGTAAAGGATAGTGTTGAAGTTTCCCGTAGAAGAAGGAATATGGTGAATAGCAAAGATGCTCTGACCATGTACTTTACGAATCTGGTATGCTCTACCCGACTGCGCATTTTGTCAGGAATTTTGTTTCAGCTTAATTGCACATTTCAGAAAGCAATCGCGAAAGAAGAGAACTGTTGGAAGATCTTTCGTCAAAAAATGGTTTGGAGAGTTACAAGGTCACATTCAGTGCTCCTTGTGAATGCAGCAGCGAGGTTTGTATTGCTATCAGCCTTGCTTCTGCGGCCCGCACGTGCTTTAATCAAATTCACATTGTACACGATGCTCGGTATGTGCATATCAAGTCAAGTGTAATTGTTACATGGCATACCAGGCCATGTTTCCTTGTCCGCATGCCCATGCCGTCGCAACGTTTGTGCAGGAAGGTATGAACATAATACATCCCATGTTTGAATTATCGCTTTCGCATTTTCAGCCCGCAGCTTGTTGCGTCCCTTTCGAAGCCAGTTGATGTGTGAAGACCCATGCCTTCAAACAGAAGACGATGCTGCAGAGCCTCAACTATACACTCAAGAGCCGGAACATGATTATGAGGAAGCCCCAGATGAAGCACATCCAAATCCTTAGAAGCCACAAGATATTTTCGCACAAGACAAGCTGAAGGACGCTTTTCAAATCGCCGAAGGGTCAAGTTAGATTTTTTTGCTCCACACGAAAAATCGTCTAGAAACTTGCACATGTGGGAGAGATACTACGCACCCTGATGAGAGAAAATTGATACGAATGCTGAACAAACAAATGCGGAGACGCTTTAGAACAAGTAATACAATCGATACCTCAAATCTCAGGAAATAAACTGATTTTGCTAGAAGACTGTGCATGCAAAACTTGGGTGCCGGGCCTAGACCAAGTAATATTCAGCCCAGGGCCCGGTACGCTTTGGTTTGGAGCTTTTTCGGAATCGAAGTCCCCCATGACTTCGCGCAAATTTACAAGTCCCTCCCGACATAAAAATCAGTAGGTAGACCCCTATTCAATCAAAATAACAATAAAAAGCGAAAACAGCGCTTTGAGATACCTAATATAACAAAAAAAGAAAAGAAAACATTTCGAGTTGATTAAAGGCTCTGTCATTGGGTAAGATACACCTTAGGATCAGAATGTCGAAAACCCTCCTAGCCCAACCAAATTTGAGGACCCAGCAATCTGGGATGCATTTTTCGCCACATAGTTTAAAGGACACCGCGTGCAATTAGAGCGCATTATCTATCAACCTATAGATTTACACTACTTTTGGCTCAAAAAAAAGAGGAGAGGCAATAGTTTGATCCTCTCTTCACTATATGATAGATTTTTGACCGCTCTAATCGTCCAAACCAAAAAGAGTCAAAACTTATGTAAACTCTCCGATATTTATGCTCCGAACTAACCCATTGGTTTGGAGTTGGTCTAGAAACCAACAAATTCGGGAACGGGTATTAGGATACACAAGTTTTTACAGCTTTTTACATAATATAGTTTGGGGTAATATTGTATACATATAGCCCAAATTCGGTGTCATTTGATTGTTTGTACGCTGTAAACAAGCCATTTGTTTGTTTGAGTCATGCGTTTGAAATTCGCGCGCTTGCGAAAGAATATGTTCAACTTGTAAAACTTGACATGTTTGTCGTCTATTTTTGCGCTTCCCCAAAACCTTACAAAAACGACATTCCCGCTGCTTCTAACTTCAAAAACGAAGTCCAGTTTGTCCCTCAGACCATCTGTGCCGGGTCGTGATCCAGCTTTCCAAAACGGCAAGTCTCCACACAACCGAAGTTTTTGAGTTGAATTTGTTTTCAGAGACACGCAATCAATCGCGAAAAGGCAGCATGAAAAGTCTTGGGTGCAATCAACACCAGCGATGAAACGAGGCGCATACTGATGGTTGATCGCCGAGAGTTGCAGACATGCTTTGTGCGTGGAAAAAGATTTCCTGAAGGAAATGAAGAAAATGTATTTTGGGTGAGCTGCACGCATGAAACATGTAGAGCTTGAGCTTATTTGATTTGTACTTCTGGAGTAAAAACTCCCTGTACCATCTGTGGTGAAGGAAAACGGAAATGAAACTATTTAGTACATAAGTTCATTCAAATTCACATTCATTTCTTTCCACTCGTCTATTCATTTTTCTTGGTATGATTGTTGTATAGTAGTGAGAAAATTTTAGATTTTATTTCTACTACCACTTTTGTTCCTGCACGTCTTGTTCTTGCGAGCATCAGTTGCCTTTAAATACGCTATTATGTTCAGTGGACTGCATTTCAATGCAGTGAATGCTTGTACTACATATTTTGATTCGCGTCGTTCGAGTGTGCACTATTTGTTACTTTTAGCTCGAAGGTCAAGTAAACTTCCTCATTGGTTCCGCGGTTTACTAATAAAAGTATGGAGGTTTCGGCATTACTAACTGATGTACCTGCCTACGCCTTTCGTCGGTATTTTATAGTAGAAATTAATGTTCCATACTTATATACAAAATTTTCCTGCTTCTAACCCACTCCCATAAACTAATTCCGTGTCCCCACTATGTTTTCGTGATCAGCACAATTATTCACTCATCTGCGAAAACTCCCAGCCTCGTGATCTATGAGGTTGCAAGAAAAATCAAAAAACTACACAGGTACCTAAGTCGTAATTGCAAAACTAACATTGCATTCACAATTATCTTGCCCGCTTACCCCATATACCAACTCTCAGCCCGGTAGCCCAAACCCTGCAAAAGATCGATATCGATCGAATGCGAAAGTAGGCTGGCACCCCCCCCCCCCTCCAAGCCGTAGATGTGAGCGAAGTTCTAAATTTTATTTCTCGAAGAGGACAAATTGAAGTCAAGAGAGGAAGTCCGCCCTAATCACAATCCCGCCCTTGGCGAATCCAGCAGTTTCAGCGCCGTGCCGTTACCGTACGTCCGGCGCGGCAGACACCGACCTCGTGATGTTAACCAACAACTTCAAACCAAGCTTCCTACAAGTTCTGCGCGCACACGCGCAGAACTTGTAGGAAGCTTGGTTCATGATGGTTCACGTTCTTGGTTCAGCTTGGTTCATGTTCTCCCTGATGTTCATCGTACTAAAGTTCTATCCTTGCGCGTCCATCCAAGCATTCCGTCGTCGATCCACACACTCGCGCAAGACACGGGGGCTTAAGCACAACGCCGATATCGCAAAACCCAACGATCGTTACTACAAACACGAGCGAGGATAATGATAAGAAGAAATAGAGAGTCGCAACGGCGCGCGCGTACGCTATATACGCGTACGCTATCAGTATGAACGCAGCCTAAGGCTGCGTTCATACTGATCCCGAAGTCCGGGAACAGTCCCAGCACAGCGCTTGAAATGAGCGCTGTGCTGGAACTGTTCCCGGATTTCGAAATCAGTCTGAACGCAGCCTTATAGCCGTGCCTGGGAGGCGTGCCTACGTAATGGTCCGGAAGCGAACAGGGTAGCCGACGTGGAGCGCCGCGACCGTGCTCACGACTAAACTGCGCGACAACACGGTGATCCCGGCCACATCTTACGAGGAGCAGTCCATCGCGAGCCGCGACAACTCGTGATATAGTTTCAGGGTGAATTATGCAGTATGTAGCAATCAAAAATGTTTGGGAGAAACTTTTTCGAATTAGTACGTATCGTTCATGTATAGCAAGCAGTCGCTCTGTTATTCGCTTTTGATGTTCAAGGTCAGCTTGATTCACTACGTTTCTTTGGAGTCAAGAAGAAAATCACAAGCAAAAATTGACAGGCACAGCTTTAGAGAGTATAAGAAAGCGATGTTGTGATATAGTTGTCCCAATGAAAGCATTTTTGTTTGACTTGAGATCTTTTTTGCTAATTCCATATTAGCCGACTACACTAACACTCGCTTCAGCGTGGTGTTTTGCAGTACTGGGTGTCCCAACAAATGTACACACTTTTTGATCGTCAGTAGTCTCCCTATTTCAACTTTTTTTGCCCATAGGTGATCTGTAAAGCTGGCTTCAACATACTAGGTTGTCAAGAAAGTAATGTCGTTTTATCGCTTTTTTTGGATAAAAATGATATTACTCGGGAATTAAAGCGTATTCGAGGCCAAAATTTTATGGCTAAAGTCATGAAGCTTTGTTGTATACAATGGCGTATGTGGGAGGGACCCATTACTACTGGGGGCGGAGTTTGCCATTCCCCATTTTCAATTTTTTCTTGGTTTTTAAGCATAGAGAAAATTTAGCAAGTATACCTACGGATAAGTGCATGTGTCTTTAATATACAGGAGCAAGTGAGAGGTTCGCAGGAACTTCTAGGGCGAAAATCCAATTTTGGCCATCACGAGTTGCTCGTATGTTTTGGCTTTAAACTTTGCGTAAACAACAACTTCTGCCAAGGTTCGGAGGTCATCTTGTAGAGCTTCCTTTGCTCTATCGAATGGTACCCCTCGCATATTTTTTTTGAATTTGTCTTATGGCTTTGTTATGAAGAACGACATTATTTTCTTGACCAACCTAATCGATACAGTATGGAGCGAATCATCAATTCTCTTCGTTACGGTCAAAATGTTAGGATCCACGTCACCAAAAACCGCATTTTGTCTTACAAAGTAGACCAAGCAAGCCAAACACTCTTACACTAAGCTATCAAACTCTCTGAATTCAAACATGAAATTCGCATATCGCAGTCATGCCTCTCCCATGATGGATTCTAGATAAACCGTAACAATCGCTTTCCAATGTTCTCCAAAAACGGTGGTTACACCACGAAGAGAGCTTGGAAAACCCTCAAAATTCTACATTGAAATCAGCATACATAAAAGTCCAGCTGCTCTTGTAGATCTTTTGGGATATTTGACCATTTCACTATGGCGCTGTATGCTGAAAATTCACACCACAAATCCTACAGTAATGGAGGCAAACCAGAATTTCTTCCTATAGCATATCTAAGTTGAAGCAAACTATACAGAATAGCATTTAGAAGTCGGCGACAGGTATCGAAGCAAGAGAGTTATCAACGATCAAACAGTATGCACATTTTTGCAGAGACCCTTGTTCTGCATTTGTGTAGAAGCAATTACTCCGCAAAATAGATTTCTTTCAAATTTTGATGGTGACAGTAGTACACCCCAAGTGAACCTAAGTAATTAAGCTCAACCAAACCCTCCAATCTATGCACTAAATCCCAAACCTGCTCCAAATTAGCATTATTGACGCTCACTCAACAATTGTGGCCGAGGCCGATGGAACTTCTAAGCGCTCTTTCGGCATAGAATGTAGGGTGAAGCTCAGGCTACTGTACTCTAGAGGTTGGGGGGGGGGGGAAGGGGAGAGAGAAGCCTGTTACATGGTAACAGCAAAATATGAAAAGATCCATTCGAGAATCCCTGTCTTCAAGTGAGTAAATGTCTAAGGGCTTGTCTGTGGTTTGGTGACACTCAATCTTGCTTGAGGGGTTACTCATGGGGGTTCCCCATGAGTATAACCCTTAAAGTAACCTGTTACTCATGGGGCCTCCCTCATGAGTAAAAAAATTCCTTTGCGAAAAATTTCATGTGTTTCTTTATGGTCTAATGTCGCATATGTTTGGAGAGATTGCTATATATAACCATCCAGTTGATTAATTACCCTAACTTCACGCGTAAAAGGCGCTGGGGATTTTTTCAAAATCTATTAGCCCTAACACGCTAAAGGACTTCACAATTAAAGGACTCTACAGGATGGCCGATAAGTATGGGCGTTACAACATGTAATATATCTTTTTTCAGAAATAATCTATCATGGCGGCTAATATGCATGTATATAGCTTACGGACAGTCTCTATATAAAAATAAGTGAAAATCACGCGAATTGAAGTCTTCTGATGCAAACGGGACTCCTAAGTCTACTTTCTCTTGAGAGGCGCTGCGGCTCAGTTAACACCATAATTATAGTAACGTGCCTTATATTGGAGAGGAGAATTTTTTGCTGTTACAGCACAGTGTTATTCCTCGGACTGCGCTCTACAAAATCTCATGTTTTAGAATCTACTCGATTAATAAATGGGTTAATTAACGGATTTGCAATGAGTACATTCTTCAAGTAATATTTTTGACGCATCCTTCAAGGTAAGCTGCTGAAGTCTGTGTGCATGCGCAGGAATCCAGTCTTGCAAGAGCAACACATTGAGATGCCTATGTTTTGGACATGCAAAAATAGTCTTACAGAAATTTGTTTGGTATGAAAAATCGGTGAAGGAAAAATGTGACGCCCATACTTTTCGGCCACCCTGTATAACGTGCTGTATATTGTTCAACAGAATCGTGCGCCATAAGGATTCTCCGAAATACAGTAAAGTGGCAGAGTATCTTATCTCACTTGAAAAAACGGTGCGCCCTGTACGCTTGAGATTAGGGTATCTTTTTTGCACTTAGTGTGGCACTACTTCTTTTGGTCCATAACACAAACCACTCCAAACAACCGCCAAACACAACACTGAGAGCCCAGCCATCCGTTCATCCCATTTTTCGCTCTTGGTGGTTGGCTTCCGGTAACGAATGAGAGAGCAAATCACACTCAAAGGTCTTGTGTGTGGACAGCTGTATCCAAGCTTGTGAATCATTCATGAATCATCTGGCAACATTTTTTTTCAGTAAATCAATGCAATGTGGCGCACACACCACAAATGAGTGGCTCCACATTATTTCTGGGGTTGCGAAACAACCCATGAATTGTGTCACAGAGATCTTTTGGCGGACGGTGTATGTATCGCAGCTTAAATCCTCATAGCTAATTATCAAAGAAAACGATAAGTCAGAACCTGCTTTGAGTTTCTTGTTCACGATATTGTAGCTAGGTTTCGCCAGGATAGCTATGTAATTGGATCGACTTCAATGTGTCTATATCAGGATCTTCTTTGTTTGCAGTATGCTTTTTTACCATAATTATCTGCTATTCATACAACATATAAGTTTAGGCGTGCGAACAATAGGCGCACAAACCGACGTTACATTTCATCCCTTGGCGAAAAAAATCGTCACCTTTCGAAGAAACCTCTTAACAATTCTCTCGCAACAAAAATCAAGATTTCATATTAATCAAAGATCACAAAACTGATAAGGTGATTTGCAACTTTTCGCTACTTCCAGTCAGAAAGTAATCTTTTGCGATTTGCAGTTTTCACTGTCATCTCTATCACTATTCTCGAAAACTATCTCGACTCTACGCATCAGATACGTTGCGTAAAGTGAAGACATCGTCCTATGGACCGTGTGCCCGTTTACCGGTACAGTATGCCTTCCTTACCTATAGTTGTAGAAGTTCGAAATTCTATCTATCGATACAGTATCCCGTCCATCACCTATAAGAAGTCCAAAATGGCATGTGATTGTTTCATGCGATGGTGAAAGCTGTGGTTGTTGACAACATGGTTGATATCAATACTTTTCTTATGTTTTATTGTAGTGTTAGGCTCCTTAGGTCCGAAAGATCGAAATCGTCCGTATTTACACTATGAATACTAGCACTACACAGCCCACTTTACAAACATTGCGTAATATCACTAATGGGTAAGTATAATTGACTAGGGTGATTATTGTTCTACCCTAGCATTGTGCAATAAATATTTGCTGCCCTTACGTCTTCTGTACATTATTTGTTTACCTTCGCAAGATCCCGTAGCAAATACTGATACGACAAACTTCATCATACTAATTGCATAACACCTTTCTCCGTTTCTCGTGCTCCACGTTCCACTTTTGTTATATGCTGAATTTTTGAAAAGTGGCTTACTCAAAGGACAGTGCACGACTTCTACGAGACTAATGATTATCACTTGGTTCGTTAGCCATCTCCCTTAGCTCCACACTCGATTTGGACAATATCACCAACCAAAAACAAAAGCAAAGATCACCTTCTCAATTTCACAGGTCAGTGACAAGATAATTCTCCAGATAGCCTTATATACCAATGCTTATCTAAAGGTCCCTGTCCGGTCGTCAGAGCGGGCACAAGGGCCCGCGTCGGCGATGTATGCGCATGTGCAAATATGCATTTTCTAGACATAAAATGTGATGCCTCTAAACTCCAGTTTGTACAATAAATTTTACTTGAAAGGTAAAATGCATCAACATCCAAATTCCACATCTGATGGCGTTGCTGGACAAAATGACCGGGATTTGTGGTGCCTTGAACAACCTACAAGATCTACAGTGACTTGTCGAACTGTCGTGTTGCTTTCGCCCTTCCACATCTGGTGATTACCGCTCAAAGTTTTGTCAGCTGTGTTGTACTCACTTAGCTTGCACAAGAATTCTTATGCATTTTGGTACGCTAGCATATGTTGGTCTAGGTTCAATGTTGTTCACCTTCGAAAAATAGGTGCATGTAACCACCCACTTGGTCAGAATTGTGCAGTAGTTTTTTGTCTTTCACCTAGAAAAACTTCTGTAATAAATAAGTTGGTCCTTACCCATATTATTCGCTTCATCATTACACAGAGATGAAGATGAGGTGGCTGTGGAAAGGCGAAATAAAGCAAATACGTGCCAAGCCCTACGCACCATGTTTGTCCTGTTTTTGCTGATAGCAGAATACAGTCCCTGCGGCTTACTGGCTAAGCGAGTGAGCTGGGATAAATTTGTCGCAAAACTGCCAAAGTATGTTTTCTCATATGTAACCCGCTCTTTCTGCTTCATCAACTGCTCTCCGGATTTGTAGACAGTTTTTTGTTGACGCAAAAGCGTTGCGTTCCATTAATCAGGACAGCTTACAGCTAGAATCCACTGCTTTTTTAAGGCAAGGCTCAACGAATAATCTTGAAGACTCTTGTGAAGACCTTCGGTTTTGAAATGTGCAACAGACAGATTTTATTTGCATACTTCATTTCGATGACTACGATCACAGCGTAAACGAAATTGCGAGTAAGCCGAAAGAGGAAGGAAATTAGCAAAGGCCTCTTAGCTTCAAAATCCTCGCGGTCCACGTGGACCCCAAGGCCCAGGCCCCCGTGGTCCAGGTCCGTGTGGTCCAGGTCTGCGTGGTCCAGGTCCATATGGATCAGGTCCATAAGGCCCAGGACCAAATGGTCCAGGTCCGTAAGGTCCTGGTCCGAACGGTCCCGGTCTGACACCTCCTGGACCTGGTCTCGGTTGAAGATAAGCTAGAGCAAAGATGTGTCCTGCGGACCTCAAAAGCCGCTGCTGCTTTGGTGTTAGTCTGTTTATAATTTCCATTTCTCTTTGCGACGCCTGCAGCATGGTGAGTGCCTGAAAATGAGAAGCTTGATTTCTCTACTTTGCGCTGAAATGATCCCTACATTATCATTTTCGATCTGTCTAAGCTCTTCAATAATATACGGTAAATTTTGTATAGCTTCGTCCAGTTCACGCTCTGCTGCTGATGTTTGCTCTTCCAGCAATTTTTTGTAGGCCGCATATTGGTTCTAAAATTTTCCAAAATCTGTTTGACATTGGTTCTTCAATGCAAACTTACGGTCAATCCATATTGTTCCGCCCATTGTGCCAAGGCTTCTTCAAATTGTTGCTTAGTGAGACTAGGATCCTGAATCAAACGCAGAGACTGTAGTCAAGAATGGTGACTTTCATAAAATAATTACAGTATGTAGTCTTCTAAGATCTTCCAAGGCCTGTGGCGGAATTGGAAACGACGGTGGACCTCCCTAAATATTAGGCATAATATTTATTAGTGTTGTCAAGTCCTTGCCTTACCGGTGCAAACGCTCGAAGAGAGCTAATAAGGCAGGCAAACGCCAGCAGCATCATCCTATGCAGTTTAGAGATTGACTAAATGCAGGGAAGGACAGATGGGCTATCATCTGAAATCATGGACATTTTTTTCTATGAAAGCCCATAGTTTAATCAGATGTTATTCCAGCAACTTCTATCTATCTGTCTTTGTTTATGGATTGCTTATGGATGGATATATGCACAAACGAAAATGATTCCGAATTTAACAGTTTTATTTTTTTCAAGCAGCAAAGCGACCACTGCTTTGGAGCTAAAAAACTTGTAAGTTGATCATCAATGAAGAGGATCGATCTAGAAGCTTGAGCTTGTGCCTTGCAAGAAGGTCAACTTGTAAATACACCAGCAGAGTAATTACTGGTGATTCAAAATGAAATGTTTCGATTGTTTAAGTAGTCTCATCGGTACTGTACGTTCAAAATCTTCGTACGGCACTTATCCATACCAGCTATCGTCCAGGGAACTATAAACATCAGTGCTTGCTACTCTAATGCCCTATGAATATCAGTGCTTGCTACTCTATTGCCAAAGCCATTGCTTCGGCCTTTGTAAGGACTCAAAAAATATCCTTCCAAAGGCATGATGCTCTGCAGTTGTTGATATATTCAGGCTGATCGGATTTCAAAAAAAAAACGGTGCGTCCGTACATATTCGTTGAATTAGGGTACTTCCTATGTCTTTCGTAAAGATTAATGACATGAAGAATTTTTTGCTTGAATGGCTGCTACAAGTGTAGAGATTTTCGATAGTTCAGAAAAGCAGAGCAGTCTATCCCTTCACCCCAAATCAATGAATTGAAAAGAAAACCTTAAGCAAACACTCAGTTGCTATGTTGAAGCACGTAGTCTTTGCTTGATGTCTGTAGATAATGAATATACCCTCCGAAACAATGCAGACACAGAAACTTTGAAGTATTCTATTTTTGATTTACACTGAAGAAGAAATTAATATGCAGTTAATTTGAGCCTAGCACACTGATATGCTATCGAATGTTTATAAAGGGATTTATCGTCCTAAAACCAGGCAGGAGATGGTCATTTTGAAAGTGATACATTTTCAAACTTGCATCAAACGCAATACCGCACGTAATCTGTGAAAAAAGATCACTGCACTCGTAGGAGTTCGCACTTTGGTTGCATGGTTATATCCTGCTTCGGAGTGGATGAATTTTCAATCCAAACGCACCAAATTCAGACACGACAGTCTATCAATTTCAAGGATCCTTTTATATCTTTGCTCAGCAAGTAGGCTACTCACATTGTGGGATCATTGCACAACGATTAACCTACCGAGGCAAAAATTTGGAAAGGTCTTTAAAATTTGATTGACTATCGCGCCCAAACAAGCACTGCTATACATCAGATATATCATTGGGCTGGATTAATACCACCTTTGCACTGAGAGTACGTCCACTCCGAGACAAGATATGGCATGCAGCCAAAGTGCGGCGAACTCCGCCGGAGTGCGGTGATGTTTTTCACAAGTTACGAGCGGTATTGTACCAAATCGGACTGCGCCAGGTTGAACAAGCATCATTTTCTACATATGCATATCTCTCTATCACAGTTTGATTGCGTACGGAAAGTTAAGGCGTTCCCTTATCAAATGTGAAGGTTCTTCAGTTTAATTGCTTCTCGGTGGTACGTCTTCCTGTTTGTGGAGATGGTCTAGACCTCTAGAATATCAACGAACCCCAAAAAATGAGATTTTTGCAGTTCCGGACTAATCTTTGATACTCTGGATCTCCTCTATTGATTCGCTTTACCACCATTAGGCTGATACACCGTCCGGTAACTCTCGCTGTATTCAATCTTGATAGAATGCATAGGTTAACAGTCAAACTCGGGTAAAAGCAAAGTTATAATTGACTAATAGAAAATTTCAGCGAATCGTCACAAGACCATAATGTGCTCAGCTCATGCAGATCAGACACAATTTGATGACTGAAGGAGCACATTACAGAGCGTACTCTGCCTCATCCAATATCAACTGAGAAAAGCTTCAGTTGAGGCTTCGACGAGTCAGCTCGGCCTTAGTTGAACCATTGACTAATAATTCCAACCATTCAAGTTGATATGATTGAGTGCGCCACGTTCATCCAAGTACACAAATTAAAACGTGTTTGCCAAATATTTACATGTTTGTGATTGGAACAACAGCGGCGGAGATGTGACCGCACTTGTTAGATGTGTTGAAGATAGTCAGCCTGCACTGCGACTCCTCACCCAGTATGTTCGGCATGTTAAAATGACGTGTATCGTAAGTTATTCAGGAGTAACATACGGAAATTCTCTCCAAATCTCCTCGTTAGCATACTATTTCGGAATATTATCGCTCTGATCACCTCCCATGGTTCAGCAGGGGGGTGATTTCCCTGCCGGACTTGACTTGAGGTTCACATGTCAGGTGACGTTGCATTCTTATAGCATGAGTGGGCGATCGTCATTTCACCTGACGGAATCTCACATAAGGGCTTCAGGGGAGATCACCTCCCTTGATCGAGGTTTACCACGTGCCATTAAATTGTCATAAAAGTTACTCCTATTCTAAACAAATCACACTGCCCTCGTTTTCCTAGCAGACTGAGGGTACCACTCGTAGAACAAAAGCTCTACAAATGACCACTAAAGATTCAGTTGAATTGTAATCCAGCTGAATTGAAGCCAAAGACTATTTTTTCAAAGATCCGGAGCTTTTCGGGGAAATTTCTACGACTTTCTAACATTGGTCATTATCAAGTAGACGCGTAATAGCATAATGCAATTGCAGTTTTTTCGCCGGCCCAGAACTGGGAAACAAAAATAGTCCGAAAATGCAAAAATCTCATTCTTAGGGGTTCGTTGATTTGGAACTTGGTATACCAGGACGCTTACAGAAGTATAGTACCAACTTAAACTTACTAGTTGTAGAACACACTTGCATATCGAGAGGGATAGAGTTGAAGTTTGCCATTGACTATCTTTTTTTCTCGTTCTTTGCGCGAAAAATTTTACCAAATGCATTTATGAAAATACTATGCATCTACTGACATCTATTTAGGAGCTTTGTAAGATTTTTACGGCAAAAATTCGATTTTCAGAAGATAAATTTCACAATCATCCAAACTTTAACTAAGCCACTACTTAGGTGAAGCTTTGTTGATGCTTTTGTAGAATTTGCTTTGCTCTATTGAACAATGCCCTGGTCTGCTGATAAAACAGAATTCGTTTGCTCTGTTCAGAAAAGGGGCTGACTATAGGGATAACCTATAGGGATATCTTTTCCGCAAATTATGTGACTGGTCTAATGAAGTGAAAAAGTTGCGAATGTTTGTGCTGTCCGATACCGTTGTAGAGTTCCTGTGGGAGCTTTTTCTCTAACGAGGGAAGAATACTTGGTCGAAGTGGTGTTTCATTATGAAATGTATACTGTCTCAAAGAGCTTAGGACGCTGATTTCGAATCTGCTCTCCATATCTGCAAAGCGCTTCTGGGAGTGGGAATTTCTTCGAGCAAAAATTTGAACGCGCGGCTTCCATAATCATTCGAAGCGCAGTATATGAGCTCGAATGGAGCTATGATCACTACCAGGGCGTTTTATGCAATACTGCCATCAATCTTATAAGCTCTTGTCAGTGCATTACTTCTTTCAAGCGCCGAAAGCTCTCAACACCTGTTTTTACCTTAGCCAAACCGTTGAATTTTTACCAAAAAATAAAAACAAGAACTCCCCTCTTAGTTAGAAGCGCTTCGCAGATAAAGAAAGCAGACTTGAAATCAGCGTTCCATGCTCTATAGGACCGTATACATTTCATATGGAAACCTTACTTCGACCAAGTATCCTTTCCTTGTAAGACCCTGTCGTTATGTGTCCAATAATGCCAATAATGTCGGGGGGAAAATCTTCAACTTTGGCGTGCAAGACTGAGATCTTAATCTTTGAAGGAAAGTTTGTATGAGAGCTTAGACCTTGCCGTAGAAGTAGCGCTATCGGAACTAATTTCAAAGCCTATACTCTTTAGAGAATCTTTTATCAAAAGCAAAGTCATCTCTTGCTTTGAAAGGAACTCTGAAGTATACATGCATTTGAAATTTTCAAAAACTTAATTCATGTTTGGATGACGAATTGGTACCCATATGACTCTTCTTCTCACTTGTAAGCTACAGACAAAATGGTCATGTGGACAAACCAATGCAATCTTCTATACACGATAAACTAGAACAAAATTTTGCGCTTGTGTGATTGTAAACTTGAAAAGAAACCTTTTATTTCAACCGACACACAACTTAGATGTTCTGTGCTTTACTGAACGTTGGTTACTAAACGTTAGTTACTAACCGTTAGTTGTTTGGGAGTTATACTACGGCAGAAAATAGCGTTACTAATCTCGCTATGATTATAAGGGAATTATAGGATTGTATTTGCTAATTGTAACTGTGGTATAATACACTGCTAAGGTGATAAATGATGTAGTGACAAGGAAGAGACAACTCTAAAGGTGTGAAAGACGGAACTTTAGTTTTAAAAGCTTTTGTCGCATATACAGAGAAAGCTGATGCAGCAACTGTTCTATGGCAATGCTGGATCACAATGTCAAAATGTTCCTCAAGCTATAATAATAAGCGGGCGGAGTAACTTTTATGGATTATGTGAAACCCGAAAGTCATTTCATTACTTTCTTTCCCTAGTTGCGTCCCAGCTGCTTCAAGGATAGAATAACTTATGACAATCAATGGTTCTTGTCAGAATTCAGCAGGCTACAAAAATGGAAAATGAAAAGATTACTTCCAGCGTTTTAACAAATATTAATAGCTAAAATCAAGTCAATCTTATTTGTTGTTTATGATTTTTAAAAGCTTTGCATAGCAGTCGAAATACTTGAATGATTGACCTTGTAAGTAATTTGACTTAAACAGTAGTATAGTAATATGAGGTCTAAATAGTATTAGGTAAAAGGACAAAAAAATTCTGGCAGAACTACATGACACTCTTTTGTTTGACAATCATCGGTTGATCAGTGCTTATTGAGGTGAATGGTTCTCTACTGGCTTATGTCAGTTTTGACCAAATGTGAAAAATGTTAAGCTCTATCGAACGAGTTGAGATTTGAATTCAAATGGCTAGCGCATACTGGATAATTCATTGAAATCTGTAAAAAAAATTTTTATACTCACTTGAAGTAAGTTTGCCACAGATGACAATATCAGGGAATGCCCAGGAGATGCTTGAAAAAGCGATTGTATGTTCATTTTCTCGGATGTCAAAGCCTATGAAGCTAGATGAGTTTAAAGGACTGAAGTAATGACACATCGAATTGCGTTTTGCTATTTACAACATCTTAACGTCTGCCAAAGTATCCCATTCCCGGGACTACAAATCCATATGGCGCGGGCGCTCCCCATCCGTTTCCGCACTGCCCTCCAGGGCACACTCCGGGTGCCCATGCCCCAGGTCCACAGTGTCCCGTTGCGCAAGGTACTCCAGCTGGCCATCCTCCATACCCGCAGTTTCCACTTGGGCATACTCCTCCATACCCTGGCGCAGGAGCGCCACTTCCAAAAGGTCCAAATAAGCCCATTGGCATCCAGCTCAATGGTCCTAATCCGCAATCTCCTTCCCTTGGTAGATTTTCATAAGCTGGAGCATAGACTTTTGCTGCGCATCGTGCAAGAGCTGCCTCTCTTGGACTCAACTTATCCAGAATCTTTCTTTGCTTGAAATAGGCTTCTTGCCTGGTGAGCCCCTGAAGTAATATTGACTATGATCAAGGACACCCTAAATATGTGTACCTTACTTGATCACTCTCAATCTTCTCAAGATCTTTCATTACGTCTTTTAGCTTTTTCACACCGTCCTCCAAATCCTCATGAGTCTGCTTTTTCAGATCTTCCATCACCTTTTTATTTGCTCTATACTGGCTCTAAAATTTCCATATTTAATCTAAAGGTGTTATTGCACCTGCATGCAAACCCCTATTTTGTTTTCAATCGCCCATTTCTGCATTTTTATATCGAACATTCGCTTTGATAAGCTATTATCCTAAAAGATATGATTACACAAAGGTGAAAATTTGTAAATCATAAAATTTACTTGTTTAATCTTCTGCAGATCCTGATAAGCCTTTTGTGAGATGTTAAACAGCGGGGATCCCTGAATATAGCAGATAATAATCAAATTTAATAGAATTTTACACCTTGCCTCACCATTGTACAGTAACCTCGGTAGCCACCAGGAGGAAGGGAGCAACAAGGTGGCAGGGCGGGCGGACAACAAGTTCGTAGGACGGGTCCACAGCATTGAGGTTGGGCTAGATGGACAAGGCACATAGGTACCAAAACTCGAAACATTTCTTTTATGCGGTGTAAAAGTTTATACAGAATTAACAAGGGCTAGCGAGGCAGGGAATAATGAAATATTGTGTTACTAAATTTGAAAAATGTTTTATATCGAATTAAAATTTATACAGATGTTGCGTCATTAGAGTCCACTTTAACAGTACCTGTAAATATGAAGTTTTAACATATAGGACGTGATACTCAGCTGAATAAATAACAACACCTCTTACTAACCACTGTTTCCCTATTTTTATTATTGATTGCATTCATTGAATATTCAGGTCTTTCGCACTTACTCAAAACAAAGGTAAAGCTCACAGTTGCGTGATGATAGGATATATTATCGTTGCTCCAGCTTCGTTTTTAACCTGTTCTGCTTACAGTTGACATTTCAGTTTTCACATCATACTCATGTATGAGGTCGTGAAGTTAATGCAAAATTTGGGTCCACCTAAATTTCGCATTAACTTCACAATTTTTCTTTCCTTGTGTAATAAGGTCCTTGAAGGATTTTACTTTTCAGTGCATCTTAGATAGCTTGCTACAAGTGCGCAGTTGACTAATATGCTCTGAATGTGCGCAAACTGCGTGAGCTTCGAAAACGAGGTGAAAAGTTCCAAGCATTTTGGGGGGGCAAATTTGAACATTTACTGTAAGTAGATGAAACAGTGCTCAGCCTCAATCAAACAATGTCAAGTATGTAGATTTTTAGCAATTATTTGTAACATATTCGGTGAGATGTTCAATCCAGAATGTGAGGTGATTTATAAATTGTTTTCAGTCTAATTGTAAGATCAATGTGAACCTGCATAATAACTTACTAAAGGGTGGAGGACTATATGTCGCTGAAAAAGAGCGGTTCCGCGGTAATTTGCAACAAGTACGCACCCTTGCATGTGGACGGAGGTGCGTTTCTGCGAGAAGTTCGCGAGAAACCCTCCCACATTCGGCGACATATAGTCCTCCACCCCTTGCTAGAAGGTGTTGACTTTTTTAATTCAATTTGAGTCAGCTACCCTGGCGGCTGGAAGGCGAGGACTTGTGACCTAATTGAGGCCGCTCGCGCCCGCGACGCAGTCTGCGTCTCTCCTGCGCCCGCTTTCTCTGATCACTACCTAGCCTTAATCGTGTGTGTGTTGTGTTGTGTGTTGTGTGTGTTGGTATGTGTGTTCCAAAGAACTTTTTTCCAAACCAATCAGACTTAGCACACCTATACTTCGGAGAGGGAAGGATTTCGTAGGCTACTTTTTGTTATTGATCAACGGCAAATTTTATCGAATTTTGCATAATTTGACCTACGGGGAATGGCTAAGAAATGGGGTTTTCTGTGGAGCATACATACAGACAGAAAATAGACATTCAGTCTTAGATGTATGACGCAATAGAGTGTTTCGCTTTTTGTACTAAAATTGCAACTGTTGTTGTAGCTCATTCGTTTGGTGCTGCGCTCAAAATTTAGCCATCTTTCTAATTCAATTAAACAACGGAGACGAATATGCTGAAATGGTCGATATGTCAGAGTGACAAAAATGTAGAATAAACAAATTATAGGCGCGATAGGAAAGCAGGGTGGTACCCTTTACGTAAAGGGAGGTTAGGCTATTTCTGACTTCGAAATGTGAAGGGGATGAGTGATCCTCGAGGTGACTGCTTGTGAATAACTTACATGTCACGACTGAGTGAGAAGGGGGGGGGGGGGAGAATAAATGGCCAAAGATATGAAATGGAGAATTTTCCAATGCTTTGGTTTTGAGGTTATTGATCACGGAGTATTCTGACGCAGGAAAGCTTTACTTTCCATGTCCCATCCTATACATACTATTCGAAAGCTTGGAACATTTGAAATCGATGTACTCGTATCTTTTTTCAGCTCTTCTAAGAATTCACATATGGGAATTTTTATCTAGCTTCAACATCACCTAGTATTGTAATCTTTTTGCGCTATATTTCTGAAAAGGAAAAGCTAGAAGAACAGAGGTCGGGTTTCCGATTTGCGAGCATCAATAATTCAAAGACATTCAAACCAAAAAGCTTGTAGCTCTTTAAAATTGGAATGGAGATATTTATAATTGTTGCTCCACTCTGCGTCACAATGGCTTGGTTTTCATGGATCGACGGAGCAAGGATTTTTGAAGCAGGAAAGCTTTGTGCGGACAGCTCATACAACATTCAGTAGTCAAGAACACGAGTAATCAAGGTGCTCAAGGTGCACCCTCTTTTTTGTTCTAGCTTTTGTGCGAAGAGAGATATGAGCAATTTTGTCTAACTAGAATATCAGCTAAATTCGTGTAATTTATTGTGCACCATTATCTGAAACCGAAGAGTTCCTTTTCGTTTCTGATGTATTATATTTAAGCGCGAGAAATCTAGAAACGCAGTCATGCACTGACTGAGAAAAGCAACAGCTGACGTTTCTTGCTCAAACATAGGTGTTTTATTCTGCCGTTATATTTTGACTCTCACGTCACTCTCAAACCTCATCCAAATGCCGGCTAAAAGATGAAGAAAAGCTTGAGCCGTTGCTTCACTTATTGCACCATATTTCAAGTCAAGCATAGGTCGAAAAAGCACTTACATATTTGGAAAGAATTGCAATAAAGCTCTAGCAGATTGATCTTAATTTGTTGATGTCAATGCTAATGTTATTGAATGGTCAATTCAACTGAGTGTTTGTACAGCTTGTACCAAATACGCACTCGTTGTTTGGCACATTGAGAATTTCTCTCTCTATGGTCTATATTCCACGCAACCAAAAATGATCGAATGACTGACTTCAGCTACACACAGCAAAGAAAGATTTAGTAATTCTATGTGGCGTTACAGCAAAACGACAACCTACCCGCCAAGCTTTCTTGCCTTAGAGCTTTCTACGCACAAACTTGGAACTTTTAGTGTTACCACACACTTCTCCTTTTGAAATTCTGTCGTCTGAGTTTTCTTGACAAATTGCATACTCCGTCTATAGTAACTTACAAACCCGCATGCTTACCTTCTCCCAGCGAACGCTAATGTCTTGAAATTTCAAGACAGCGGCAGTACTTTTCTGTGTATAAGCCAATGTTGTACCCTATCATTCCCTAGCCTCGACTAGGCCTCGAAGCCTTCTAGACGCCAATCCCGCAGAAGCGGGGTAACCCCTTCACAAGAAATTAGGTGTTCATGCTTTGAAATCCCATAAGGCAAGCACAGCTTGAGAACACTTTTTTTTGACTCCAACATTTTGCGCGGTAAAGACATTGAGTGTATTACTAGGGAGAAAAATTTTTTTTCTTCCCTGCTAAGTTTGCAGCAAATTTGGAAAGGTTTTCGGCTTTGCAACGAAAAATCCAAGAAAGCAAAAAATCATTTTTTACATTTTTCTTTCTCATTGTCCTCCATTTCAGCTACCCAACTTGGCTGCGAACAAAGCAACAAATCACTCATGTGCTAATCTCGATGCTCATGCTTGCTTCTTCGCTTCATCTAATCACATTTTTCCAAGTTGACAGAACACGGCGTTGTCGCAAAATCATTTGTCTTCTTGCGCAGTCAAGTTGAGTGCCAAACAAATTTTTGTTGAATTTCTGAGTGATTCATCTATAATCGAGGTTTTTGTATGCACAGACTTTTGCCAAGTCTTCGTCGATTATACTTCCTTAAGACTGCTTTCAACGCCGACGATGAAGAGACGCATAAGAGATTATCTTTATGTGTACAAATTAAATTTGCAAAAGTTTTAGCAGTTTTGACAGTAGATGAGACTTATGGGATTCCTTCCTTACAAGCCACAAATTTATATGAAACAGGCGCCCCTCGAGGAGTACACTCACCAATCATCAATTATAGTTACTGTTTTTGATGCATATTGATCAAGGGGTGCTATGCTCCCTCGAAGTTTATAACGCTGTCTTATGAAAGAAGTAGAAAAGGTTACCATTTTTTACTGGCCACTCAATAAGCAATAGTTCGCTATTTCTCTACTATATGCTCAATACAAATTGATGTGCTGAGGTGATGGTTTATAGCCAGCGATGTAGAGCTTTTGGTTCTCTGCATAGCAATTTGACCAGGCAGGACATTCTCTGAAATTGCATTCAGAAACGGCAACCACATAAAAAAGATAGTTTGCACATTTATTTTTCTACACAACATCTGTTAAATTCAGGGCATATGCTGTAGGGAAATAGGACGCGTATTTTGTCGCCACTTTTGCCACTCAAATGTTCCAACCATACGGTGGTGGGCGAAAACCATATCTGATCTCGGTAGGTCCAAATACGGAACTTGGAGCAGGATTCCGAAAGCCACAGCTTGGGCCAAGTGACCCTGGTCCGAATAGATCTTGCCAAAATTGGCCGGGGTTTCCAGGTATGAATAATCCTAGTCCATATGGCCCCGGCCTAAAAGGTCCTGGTCCGCATGGTTTTCTCCTATTTTGTTGATAAGCTGGAGCAAAGATGCTCCCTGCTGCTTTTAAGAGGTTTTGCTGTTTAGGCGGTAGTCTATCTATGAGTGTTTTTTCTCGTTGAAAAGCCATCATCCTTGTCAGGGTCTGAAAACGTTAGTAAGGGTTATAGCGACTGAGTTTCTTGGAATATGCTCACGTTATTATTTTCAATCTGTCTCAGTTCATCGATAAGTCTTGGCAGTATTTTTACGGCATCGTCCAGTTCCTCTTCAGCCGTTTTTTTCTGCTGTTCCATCAGTTTTTTGTAGGCATTATATTGATCCTGTAATTTTATCTTTGCCTTTATGTGCATGAAGTAAGTGTGCTATAGCAATACCGTCAGTTTGTGCTTTTTCGCCCATTCCGCCGTCCGATTATCAAATAATTCCCTGGTTAGACTAATATCCTAAACTAGTTTTGTGAGTCAGCTGTCGTTCTAAGAATTGAAAATTCATTCCATGCTTTGACAATGTGGGAAGAAAAGAAAGGAAAGCAGTAGGAAAAACAATTTAAATTTTGACACATTTTGTTAGCTCTGTAGTAACATTCTTGGAAATTTCTACATGATGAAGGATAGAAGCCACTTTCTATTAGACTTAACTCATCTTTGAATTCAATATTGGTACCAACAAGGGAAGGATACTTGGTGAACATGGTCATTTGTATGAGAGCACATTACTAAATGCGCCTTTAAAACTCTAATTAGAAATCTGCTTTCGCTATCTATCAAACAATTGCTTGAAAAAGATTACGATTTTTTCGCATAATTTTCGCACATTAAAGCATAATCACATTCGTTGATATGAAGTTTTTTGAGGATAATACAACTGAAACAGCTTATCCAATGTAACTGCGCTCCTCTTCAAATGTTGTTCCGACGATCGAAAGAAGAAATTCGAATGCCATAGTTTTGCTTAAATGAAACAGCATTCTTAGAGAAAACATTTATGACTTACCAGACAACCGCTTAGCAGCTATAAACTGCAGATTCAAATTCTGTATTTTAAGACGCATCGATTGATAGGTGTCACACTAGGAATGACCTCGGTCACCAGTATCATCCTCTTGTAACATAGTCAAAACTGTTTAATATGTCAGTAGCGCTTTGAGAGTGTGTTCGGTGCAATTCACTGCAGGAAACAAGAGGCTGTCATAATTCTATACGGCTTTTGCTGAAGCTCTTATTAGGGAAGGATACTTGGTGACCCCGCCCATTCGTAATGGTTTGTATATCAAAAAATGCGCCTTTTAATGCTGGCCCGAGTACTGTTTTCTATATCTGCGAAACGAGGACCTGGATGGAGTTAAAATTATTTTCTCAATAATGAACTGATCTACTGCGGAGGTTGAAAATCATTAATAATTTTTCTCTCTACTTCAAATGCTGAATATGATTCAGATGGGTATAATTACAAAGTACACCTTTCGAGATTCTTCCCAATAGCTTCAAACGGTAAAATAGAGACCAAATTGGGTGATTTCAACTGCCTAAAGTACGCAAATTTTTTACGAAAAAAGTCATAACTGCTTTCATATCATCGTTTCGCAGATTTCGAGCACAGATTTAGAATCAGCGTTTCGAGATGCACCTTGTGGCATACATCGCATACTAAATGGCCGGGGTCACCAAGTATCCTTTTCTTGTTAGCAGTTTCTTGCGTAACTCTGTGGAGAGTTATATGAATGCTAACGGGGGAAAACAAGAAAAAGCTTGGTAACAGGCGCCTCGCAGACGATAATGCTTTTGAAGACTTTCTGATGGGTGACAATTGTTATTGTGATATATGTCTTTTGGTTTGTTTTGTTGAAAGCTCCTAATAGATATGACTTAACGATTTTTACAATAATGTAGTTGTGCATCTATTGACTACACAAAGTACCTCATGGAAGTGACAACAAAAAAGGTTGTGTGTCTGTAAATTGGATTCTGCCACTTCCGCATTCTTACAGCCTCTTCTTACCCTTGCTGTTTTCGAAGCCTTCCGTTTACAACTAATTAGAAACTCAGAGACTTTATAATGCTACTTGTGTTCAATGGTTCAAGGTTCCGAAATTTGCCGATGAAAGGACAGTCATTGCTGGGTTGTGCGGGCTCAAAATTATGGGTGCAAAAGCGTAAAAACACGACGACCTACATTTTGTATAGTTTGCAACTCCCGTAATGCAGTTTGAGAAACAAACGGACCTCCCTGAATACACACGTGATAAACTGATAATTTCGTATATAATCGGCTCACCAGTAGACATGCTTGCGACGCAACAGTGGGACACAAAAACAAAAGCGTCAAGAATACTATCATTTTTTAAACAAAAAGCTTAGCCCGAATGAATAAAAAGAGCAATGGAGACTATGTTGTTTAGAGTGAAAGCCTTATATAATAACGCAGCGTTTGAACAGATTTTTGTCCTACGAATTTCAACATATTGACCTTCAAATCTAATTCTTATGCTACTATTTGGTGTTTGCTAGGTCATGTTAAAGCTAAATAAACATGTGTCAAATGAATGTAAACGTTTGCTTTTCTAGTTCTTACCATACAGCAGAAGAATTTCAAAGTTTCCAGAAACAATTGTTCAACGACGCTATTTTGCGACGGTGAAACCAAGGTAAAAACCTTACGGTCGCATAATATCACAATGCGATTTTGTTACAGTCTGTCCCATCCGGACATAGACCGAGTTGTTTATGTACAGCTATGCGCCCGGTTTGCTGAAGGCTTCGCGAGCGCCTAGCGCTAACATTTTGCGAGCTAGAAACCAAAGAAAATGAGGAGAGTGGATGATCTAAGCCCTGTATGGCATCTGTCGTACCTAGCCCGTTTTCGGTAGGCACGCAAATTTTGATAGCAACCTTTTTCCAAGATTCTTCGTAGATGCATTTTGCGTAAAGGTACGAAAATTATACGCCTAGGCACTTATCCATCAGCGGTAGATATGTAGACATCTTGAAGTTACAGGTCGCGCGGCGAACGGGATTGGGAGGAATCATGGAGATACACACTTTGTATGACAAAGTTTTCTGATATTCTGTCGTTGCAAGGCTGCACGCAGTGTTGTGGTCGCAAACGTTCCCCATTCCAATTTCAACCCAAGGATGTAACAACCTGTAGGCACTTTTGCTCTTTACAGCGAAAATGGGATTGGGACATTCGACGTTAGAAAAGCAAAGGGCTGCTCTCACTTACCAGCTGCGAAAAAGTATCAAATAATGTTGCCTAATATCATTTGAAAAAGAGATATTTTATGCCTCTTTGTAGAAATCCAATTGCATAGGTTTTCTCAAATTTCCTTTCCACCCTTGCAAATAGATCTAGTGAACTCCCGATGGCATCCCCAGCCGACACTGGCTTCGTAATGAGCAACTTTAGGCTATTTGCGAACCTGGTTGAGTTGTTTTTGGATCGGAAACTTTTATTAGAGAAGAAGTTTGAGGATATTTACACTAAAAAGGGTCGTTCGTTATGAGCAGCACCGTTCGCGTTCTATATATAGTTGAAAACGCTAATGTATGCGTTAAAAACTCTACGTAGATAGCAGAAGATAGCCAGTTATCAAGCCGGTCCTTCCAAGTTACCCTAATTTCATGCGTATAGGACGCGTGGAATTTTTTTTCTAGAATCCAACAGCATAGACACGAAGGACTCTCGATCAAAAAACTATTTACAGTGCTGCATATTGCTTGAGAGTATCATGCGGCATAAGGCTCGTTTTCTGAAACACAACGAGGAGGTTGAGCGGCACGCTTAAAAAAGCGGAAAAGGTGCGTCTTATACGTGTGAAACTGGGTACTTAAGTACCAACCAACTTACCGTGGTAGCGAAAGCTTAGTCGACACAAAGGCGAAGTCAACTCTTTGATCCCTGCGTTGGCAGCGGTCATACCAATATGCCCCTTCGAACAAACTACATCTGCACTACGTCGTTAAAAGAGCAAGTTCGCTGTTCCCAAATGAAAATTTTGTTTATCGTCAATGAATAAGTGTAAGTGTGGAACAATTTGCTGGCGGTTGGATTGTCTTTCCTGCTGGAGATGTACGCAATCAGAACGTTCGGTGGAAAGTGCATCTAAATTTAGAATTCTAACATCTGCTGCAAATGAACACAATTACAGAGTGCTTGATAACCTCTTTTGTGAAATCTGCAGCATGAGCATTGAAAGGGCTTTTAGACAAATGTATTGCTCTATTCATAGCTCAAAGATACCCTAGTCCTTTGGTCAAGAGTCACTGCAAAATTTGCACACTAAATGCACCTATCTGTTTCTATTCAAAAATCTCTCTATAAAACTGGCTTATGTTGCACGGTGCATCAAAAATGAAGCTGAACATCTTGACCTGTTCTGTAAGTTACATATTGATATCTTTTTAGGTGATAGACTGTTAAATCTTTACAGATTGTTCTTGCCGTAAGCGGAGTACAAGCAGATGAGAATAGTGTGGAAGCAAGTCTAACGACATCAATGGAGACGCTAGGCCCAGCGTTTTCTCAAACAACACTCAAGTTTTCGACGGAATGGACGAACCTGACCGAGGCAATTTCAAGAAGCACAACTCCATCCACGACCACTACTGCGAGTGGCTCGCAGAACGACCTGGACAATAGCTTGGATACCGAACACAATGACACTCAACACCCTAATGCCATCGATCGCAGTCCCTTTGATAAGCCCAGAAAGCCCCATGGTCCTAGCAATAACTTCACATTCAATAATGAAGTATAGACTAATTATATGATTCTTCCATATCTGCTACACGACATAGCCTATACTGTTGTATCTTTTTTCTAACATAATAACTGCGAAGTCACCCAACATGAAAATGTTTTCTGAACAGTTCAATCTCTTTTATCTTAAAATCTGCCAATTCTTCAGTGACCTCCGCTCATAATTTTGATAGTGAATTTGATAGCCTCATGTTTCCTTTGTAAAGACTTCTAATAATATCAGCATTGATGTGAATTTGCGTAAGACACTGTTTGATGCTTTGATTGTTGTTTATATATTTATTTATCTGTTTATTTCTTTATTCGTTTCAGTGTTTTTTGTTTTCACTGGTGATGTACCCATAAAATTGGTGTTCAAATGAAGTAAAAATTGTCCGAAACTTCTACATGCATAAAATGAGCTCAACAAATCAAAGTATACTTTGAATTGGTACTTGATTGCCTTGCAAACACTATGCCTAAATTCTGACGAAGGTAGCAACTGGAATTATCTGAATATTTTCATAATGATAATTATCGTTACATAACCATTATTATGGAAACATCTGAACTTTATTGACCAGTTTTGGATCCAAATTTAAGAAGCAGTGATAGCACGTAGATCGTTTTATTCATCTAATCGAGTAGTGGCGTAATGTTTATGTCACGTGAACAGCGTGTAAATGTTCTAAGTTGTAGATCTTATTTTGCTATCACGTCAAATTCGGCTATTCGTTATGCCTTTCCAAGCGTATAGCATTCTTACGTGATCTTGCTTCTAAAGTGTGCATTTCGACTGACACATATACAGGGTGTCCGTAAAGTATGTATACAATGTTTGATCGTTGATATCTTTCTTCCCAACAAGTCTTCTGCCTTGCTTTGGGTACTATCTTGTAGAGCTGGCTTCAACTTAGATTTGCAATATAGAACGAATCATCCATCTCTCTTCATTACTATAGGATTACGATAGAAACTTCAAAAAGGGTTTTGAGCCAAGAAAGGCCATATTTTGCCCCAGGAAGGAAACCAAACAACCTGAAAGCTTTTACACTACGTTAATTAGAGTTGCTGATTCTAACTGTAAAGTTCCCAACTTATTATGATGCTTCTTTGAAGAGTTATGCCGGGTAAGAGATAGAAAAAGGCATTCAATGTTCCTAAAAAGTGCAGTTACACCGTTGAAAAAGCTTCGCAATCTTGTGAATAGTTGAGTTTTGAACTCAGCGTCCATAAAAACCCTATCCTACAAGTTTTCACATTTTTTTGAAAATTTTTGAGACGGCAGCTTTTTCCATATTGACACCATATGTTTCAAGTTTCTACCGTAATCCTACAGTAATGAAGAGCGATCGGTTATTCGCTCATACTGTAAATCTAATTTGAACCCAGCTCTACAAAATAGTACCTGAAGCAAGGCAAAAGACTTGTTAGGAAGAAAGATATTAACGATCAAACAGTGTATACGTACTTTACGGACACCCTGTATAACATATGAAGCAAGTAACTCTAGGATCGTTCCATAAGTTTGTAGCGCTTTCATCTTCGTCCTCATTTCTTTGAGGAGCAGTTGATATGCGACAAGTTGCATATATCATTTGGAAGGGATGATTGTGCTCTTTCATATATGTCTTCTAATTCCGGTGAAATGCTGATTCACTCGGATTTCTTGCCTTTCAAAGCAAAATGGAGCGGTTACGACATTTACGCAATTTTTATTATGAAAAGAAGCGTTTTTGCACAGATTTTTTGTCAGTTATGGACCGTAGCGCTCGCACGTCAATAAGAGACACAAAAGGGTTGGATGCTACAAAAGATCAAGGGCTGGGCAGGGTGTCCCTGATCATGACTTTTGTGGACGGGCGGGACGTCTTGCACTGAAGACTGCTGCACAACTAGACGATGGTTAATAATATCGTAAGCAATCCATCTGCATCGTCTAAACCAGCCCACCGCAAAAAAACCTAGCAGACAGATTTAGCGAGTTTTTTTGCATGACAAAACATGAACTCATACGGCAATCGCAGGCAAAACTGTCCTGCACGATTTGACTGGAAGGTAGCAGGTTGTCCGAAAATTAATGCCCATTTTGAATTTCAACCGCAATAAGTCATACACTTCTCATTTCTGAATAGGTGCGAGGTACCATTCGATAGAGCAAAAGCTCAACAAGACGACCACCTTGCTTTTGTAACAGCTCTCAACCTCGAGTTTCGAGCCAAAAACTGAAAAGATTTAGCTGGAAAAATTCAGAGTTGTAATTCCGTTCTTAAAAATTCTGACTTGCTCAAGTACACAGTATCCACATAAGACATCTATATACGCCGTTGCCGCATTTTTTCCTTTGTTAGAAATCAAGATAACGGAAATCTTCGCGCATTTGCTAAAGTGATGCTGTACATCTGTAAACGACGATTTACACTACTTACGACCACCGCCCTCTACTCACTATATTATGGAGCAAGAAAGGAGTGTCGGCCTACATGGCCAACCGTTTACAACGATGGTCGATGACGCTACTTGCCTATGATTTCGACATCAGTACTGCTTTACGACATCGTCTGGACAGGTCGATGCTCTCTCCCGACTGCTCTTCTGCCGAAGTGCGCCGGGCAAAGACGCCATCATCGCTACAATAGAAGCTGATGTCACCTTAATTTAGGGGGAAGCACTCAACCAGCTGCCAGTTACCGCTGAAGACGTACGTTCTGCTATGGAAAAGGATTCCGTGCCGATGAGCTGCTCAATTGCCTTCAAACAAGACGCTAGTCAAGTGCACTTCCAGGAACGCCGTTGTTCAACTACAGGAGCCAAAAAAGGAGCTCTTTGCTTACAACGGATGCATATTCTTTGGATCCAGGATCGTTGTACCCACCTCTTTGAGGAAGAATATTCTCCGAAGCTACACGACTGAGATCCTGGAGGAACCCGGATGAAGCTCTTTACTCGCAATTACGTCTACTGGCGTGGCATAGAAGAAGACGTTAAGGAAACTGTGAATCCTGCCAGAATTGCCAACTTACCGCTAAGAATCCAGTAAAAGCTAAATTAACTCCATGGGATCGCAAGCCGCCCGATGGAACGCCTGCATATTGACTTTGCAGGACCGCTCTACGGAACCCATGTACCTCGTTGTCGTGAATGCGTACTCCCGCTGGCCTGAAATCGTGGAAATGCCAACGACTAAGTCACAAGCTACCATGCATGAACTCATGAAGGTCTTCAGCCAATTCGGATTTTCAGAAGCGCTTGTTTCGGACAACGGCACTCAATCAGTTTTTCAAGGATTTCTGCAGGAAGTGCAGGACCAAGCACGTTAGGACGCTGGCTCTTGAAGTTGAAAGAAGAAGGAAATCTTCCAGAATCCTTGTCGAAACTACTACTCTCTCTCGCTGTACGCCCTGCTCGTCTTCGCCTAAGAATCGTTCGCCCCAAGATGTTTCTTGGACGAACGATTAATACTCCACTCACACGTTTTGTCAGTGACGCTTGAACTGTACCACCAATCTACTCCCCCGGATCGAAAAGGGCGATGGAAGCAATGTACAACCGCCGACATGGAGCTAAGAAAAGGAAATTCGAAGTCTACGGTGCCAACTACGTTCGCGACTACCGCAATCAATCGAAGATACTTGGACTGCAGGACGTGTACACTCAATGATTGGACGCTCACTCTACAACGAGGATGTCGAAGGATTCGTATGGAAACGTTATGTCAACCAGCTACGCCCTCGCGCAGTTCCCGACGCCACCACCACGCTGTTGCGAGAGTTGAACCTTCTGGATTTTGAGCTCCCTATACCGTTGCCTGCCTTCCGCTGATGTTCTCTTCTCAAGATGTCATTATTAATGGGACACCCCCAACTTCCGATGTCGCCACCGCAAATGCCCAACCAGTGGACGCTGATGTCCTCACTACGCTACCGTCCCCGCCGCCAGTTCGCCGCCGGCCACAAAGAATACATCGACCACCATAACGCATCGAGGTGAACTCATCAAAGAAACGATACAATTGATAGCTTGACACATTAACGACCATTTGACACACATGATGTGCCAAGCAATGACTACCGCTTGACACACATGGTGTGTCAAGGCTTGTATTTCGTCAAAATGACGATCATCTTGAAAGGAACTTATGCCAGGGCTTTCCTTTGTACGTAGAAACAATCTTCATCATTTGATCAGCCTTTCAGAGCTAGGTAGGTTAATCATAGATGGTAGTATGTGCCATTTAATTTGAAGAACGTTGACTGGCCCATGAAAGGCCTCGGTCGCAAAAGGCAGACAACCAAAAATTTTGCATGATCGCCAATGTGTTAAGGAGGGAGATGTTGGAGAGTAACATATTTGTTAGCGCGGGAGGAACTGGGCGCTATATCAGGCGCTCCCTGCTAACTAGTCATTCATTTTGTCTCATCTTCTATTCTTATTCATATCCGATCTACTAAAATCTACTACTCTACAAGTGTCGCGGACCACAAGTATAAGTACAAGTATAATTAGAAGGCTACAACAGTGCGAAGAGGTCGTGCGCTACAATGAGGAAAATTTTTATTGATTACTTCTAATGTAGACTGATGATTTTGTTTTTCTAAAACCGCTACGAACTCAGAAACGAGCCAAAAGAATTCTGTTAATCTCCGCTAATATCAAATGATTTGAGCATTTATCAGACTTTCAAAGCTGCTCAGGCCACTCTCTTGCAGATGGTGAACAGAGAAATATCCGCATAAAAACAGAAAATTACTCGCAAACTTTGTGCTTGACTTCTCTATTCTGTTGTCAATTTCATTATGAACAATGGGCATCCATCAAAGCGCTATGACTGAAAACAGGCTGCAAACATCTTCAATGAAAGCATACACAAATCGCCTTAACGATTAGTTTGTACTTCACAATACCTCCCGCTCCTTAATCACCACTATATCTTCCACAAGCATGATCGAGAATGACTCTGAGGCTTCCAAATAGTAGGATACCCTAATGGTATGGTCATTTTCAACCATAACAACTCTGTTTCAACGATGAAGTGAGCTAGTTTTTTTCTGTTGTTACATCCCCCCCCCCTAAATAACCGAAACATAGAGTTGATAGCTCAACCATAATTAATGCTGCATGCTTACATTATTTTGGAGAGCGCATTTAAGCAACTTTTGATGAGAAAAACTCCGAGGCTTCCAAATAGTAGGATACTCAAATGATATAGGCCCGTAGCAAACCCCCCATCAGGGCATCTCCCTTGAGGCGGACCGGAGGTGATCTCAACGCGCCTCAGCACATTGCCAGGGGAGCGATTGATTTGGAGCAGGTCACTTACTGGACATTCGCGTTTTCAAAGGTGGAACGTTTTTGCCATTTGTGCATTATTAGTCAAATGGATAAGATTGATGCGCAAGAGGCGGGGCCGTGGATCGAGTGCGGCTAGCGGCACCATTTTTGATGCTTGGCCCGGCGACCTTTGATAGCGGCCGCTATCGAAAAATCGATGATAGCCGCTATCAGAGATTTCACCTAGCAAACAACAAGATAAAACAAAAACGCACTATTTTGGCATACATACGAGGAAAAATTACACTTAAAGAAAAACGAATAAAAAGATAAATTCACATATTTGTCATTTGAAGCGGTTTTTCCGTAAAAAACGTGTATCAACTGTAAGAAATGCAAAAAAAACTTTTTTCCGATTTCGTCGCGCAATCAGCTGTTCATCGATCCTCACTCACTTAGACGCCCGAAATTGTGCAATTTTGGGAGTTCTGCACCGCAAAAGAACGTCATCTGCGATGTTTCGTAAGTTACTCGGGAGCAACTTACGGAGGTTTTCTCTGTGCTCTCATCTTTAGCACAGTATTTAGCTTATGTCGTCGCCCGGCTCATCTCCGATGACCCGGTCGGGAGCTGATCTCCCTGCCGGGCTTCATCTGAAGCTCACCTGTAGGGTGACCTTGCATAGTTACACCACGGAAAAGTGGGCAGTCCTCATCTCACCCTATAAAGTCTCATATGAGGGCCTAAGGGGAGATCATCTCCCGTGACCGAGCTTCACTACGGCCATAGTCATTTTAAACATTTCAAGAATTAAGCGCTACTTTTTTCCTGTTGCTACATCCCACCCTAAACAACCGAAACAGTAGAGTTGATAGCTCAACCATAATTACCGTTCACATTATTATGGAGGGCGCATATGAGCAACTGTTAATGAGACGAACGGAAGCGAATCAGGCTGCAAAGGATATTGTGGATTCGGGCTATCAAATAGCATACGCCCGTCAAAACTTTATGTGTGACTGAAAGGGATGGATGTGGCACAGAACTATAAAGGGTTAGAGAACATTAGACGCGGAGGCCCAATGCGGACATTTGCAACAAACGGCGCGCCTTCACCATTACTGCCTCATGCTAGCCGTCGCGTGGGTGGAGCCTATTGGCGATCTAATGTTTTCTACCCCCAATAAAGCTGCATGAAGCTAAGGCGGCCGCATATTTTATCATGTATATTCTAGTGCTTTTGTCACAGAGAAAGTTTTGACGGATAAATTGAACAAAAAATAATTGGTTCTCGCACTTTTCATGGAAGTGGTGTGAGCCTAATTTGTTTTCGTTCGTTTAAGTAATAGTTACTGAAATACCACTGCAAGCGAAAAACAGTACACAGGATTTTTCTTGGATTCTAATTTGATTGTTCGGCGGTCATTTGCAGTCTAAATCCTAGTGTGAGAGTGAGTAATGCTTTGCATGGAGTGCAAGAAATTGAGACTATCTTACCTTTAAGAGAAACTTGACCGCGTGAAAATTTCCTTACTCCATAGATAGCACAACATTTGGACCTCAGATTTTACCTTGAACGTAGTGCCCAGGGGTTATTTTACATGCTAATCACGAAAATCATAATGCGTGTTAATGCTTTCTAATTATGATCACGGTAGGTATACCGTAAGCAATGTCATAAAAACAGTTCATAGAAGAAGGAGTCACTAAAATCGGCTTTTGATAAAAGCCTTCAAAGTAGTCGAGCGAAACTAGAATTAGGCTTAAACGAAAGAGGAAAACCGTGCCGTCATCAGAAAGTAGTCCACGGTTTCAAAAGAGATTCGTTTCAGAATTATTCAGAATGGAGTGACAGATACATTGAAAAAAGGAAAAAACACTTTTGATTAGGGAAAAAAACAAATACTCTGAGCGAAATGCTCACTTCACACTAAAATCAAACTTGATTTGCGAATTTTTCAATTTAATTTCAAACGACTCAGTGAAGTCATGAAACCTTCAGTCTGAGGTGAACTATGTAGTCAAAACAGAATCGATCAACATCAAAAGCTGAATACAAGCTTTCCATCTGTGTTTTGTAGAAATCATAAGGGAAATAAATCACAAACGACGGAAAAATTCAAAATAAACCATGACTTTAGATTACACTCTGGAAAAGAATTAACCGCCAGTTTTACACGGGATTGAATCTAAGAACTAAAATTCTCTGTAGTTACAACAAATTCGAAATTCACCGTGCTCTTTACCCGTACCATCCGCCTAAGAAATCTCATAAGTTAATCGATGGCTGAAAGTGACGAAAAGTTTCGCGGTCATACATACTCTAGATACGCCGGCGGCTTTCTATCTCTAGATAAATTGTAGAATTACCAATTCTGCATCTTTGTACGGAATGCATCCAAAACACTGACAATATCATCACTTTTTCAGCCTCTAAATTTGTCAGAAAAAATTAAATGGGAGCGGAAAGGTAGATATTGCTGAATTTTTGAGGAGATCAAAAAAAATTGCCCCAAAATACCCTCAGATTCTTATTTGTATTATAATTGGTAATTTTCACGTCGTACCAATAATTGTGACTATTAGATCTCAATTTTGTAGACCGTTTTTTGGTTTCTATCCAAATTTCAGATTTAACTGAGTGTGTTTTCGGATGACGGTGCGATTTCCCTTTGTTTGCAGGCAGTAGCTCGGGGAATAATGACTGCGAGTTTTCCATCCCTCTTAGGCCTTCTGGATGCGCTGAGTAAAAGACTGTGTTTGAAACCTCTCAAAGTTGTCAAGAGCTTTTTATGTTTTTGTGGGCTTGGAGATTGCTGAAAAGACTGATGGAGATGTTCCCGCCAAAACAGCGACCGGCTGCGCGAGACTGTATGGGTAGAATCACTCCTGCCATTTTGGCAGCAGTTGACTGGTTGATTCAGACAACCAATCGCGCCTCATTTGGCAGGAACCGGTCGTTCGGCTCCTTCAGCAAACTCAAAGAGCGAACGACGCCGTAAGAGGCACTTTTTTGACAATTTGCAAAGATTTTAAGCATGGTACTAAGCTCAGCCCATCCAGAAATCAACGGATGAAAAACTCGCAATCGCAATTTTTGCGAGCCGCTGCCTTCAAGCCTACTTTCGGCTGCGTACGACTATTTGAATAATTTGGCTGAGGACCAGTTTCAGTGACCTCAGGTTGCTCAGATTCTATTGAGGGCTCATAACAGAAACATTTGTTCAAACAGCAAGAAAATGTATTTTCTCATTTAGGTGTCAATGCTTCCCATTTCATTTCAAGAATCTAGCCTTTTGCATATATTGATGAAGACTTGATGTAAGATTGGTCTGGTCTTGGAGTTGCATAGCCAGGTGGGTATACTGACTATGAACGCTGTACGCTTCGCACCACTTGTGGTGAATTCTGTCTCGTTGTCGCAATAATTTCGGTACGGACTATAGAATTTAAAACTCAAACTCTCAATTTCCACGCATTTTCAAGGACTGTTATTCCTATTCAAAACTATACATTTCAGGAGAAATTTTTTACTCTGTTACTGGAGATCAATTGTAAAGTTATTTAGAAGTACGGATATTTCCAAATCATTCTTAGAGCCGGACAGTCGTGTACTAGCAATATGCTAGATTTGACGGTTCAAAAGCAATTGCCATACTTGTGAGCAGACGATTTGCCCGTGGGAAAGGTCTTAGGGCACACATTTGTTTTATTTATGTCCTGTAAGCATTTCCAATCAAATGTTATAGAAGACAACGCAGTCTACTTTATTGAATTGTACCTATGCACGTGCTCGAATAATTGCAGGTTTGAACAGTAGTCGATTTTTGATCAGAGAGAAGTGAGAAGGTTTATATATTGTTAAATTTTATCGATATGCATGGTCCTTGTCATCTTTTCATGCAGTGGAATATGCAAGCCTGACCGGAATAAGTTCTATATAATTTTCCGTACTGCATCGAGTTCAACAAAGACACATTTGCAAGCTTCCCATAATCTTTATTCTAGAGAGAGAGCATGTTAATTCGGATGAATGTTTGGTCAGTGAGTCGTTTTAGTATACAATTGTTGTTGACTAATGCCGCTAAGAGCAAAACTCCTGAACTATATATCTTGGAAATTGGTGACCTCTTCGATAAACAAATGAGTACCAGTGGAAATTGAAAAAAGAGAAAACATGTCATGAACTACGTATTTAAAATTCGAAAAAAGGTGATCCTAGCCTATCAGAAAAATAAGTCATTTTCATGTGATTACGTTGCTGAGGTTGACAATATGACGCAGAGGTAAGACCGCACTCTCATGAAAGTGATTTTGGGGTAGTTGCGCAATCAATTCACTTCGTTTGTGCCATTGGGTAGAGTCACAATACGGCGATCATCTAACTCCTGAATAGCGTTGCTGGACAGATTTGCAGTGACGTTTTCGTTAATTTTGTTGATACTCTCATCCACTTCATTTTTCTGTTTTTCCTTGATGCGCTCCTGCTCCTTCTCCTTCGTCTTCTTCTTTTTCTTCGTCTTCTCCTTCTTCTTCCCATCTTTCACTTCCAGTTCCACTTTCATAGTGTCATTTTTCAGTGCGCTTGTAGTGGAATCGGATATAGAAGTGAGAGCAGTAGTCGTACTGGTGATCGTAGTGGTGCTTTCAGTCGTTTCAGTAGTACTGTTGTCGGTTTCTACGGATGGTAAAGATGCAACGATAGCTGTGCGGTTTTCTGCGGAGTGTCCGTCTGTCTCATTCAAATTACCGGCGCTGCTGTTTGCTGACTCTTGTAGAGCAGTTTCAAAGCTGGTTGTGGTGTTGCCATCTATGTTTGTCATATTTACTTCAGAAGCAGTGTTGTTTACCACCTCGGTCTGATTATACTCAGTGCTATCCGTACCGCCAATCGTGATGTTCGTTCCTTGCGCCCCAACAGCAATGTTGCTTGCTGGGCCGGATTGAATTAAGTTTGAGTCAGTTGAACTGGTATTGGCGCCTTCTGGAGTGGTTACGTTACAGTTGTCTGTTAGCCCGGTTTTGTTGAGTCCGGGTTCAGTTGTACTGGCATCCGTGACATTGGTGCCTGCCGAGATAGTACCAAGTGTGCTGCTGCTGGCTGTTTCAGGTTGAGTAGAGTTGCTGCCAGTTGTGCTGGTACTTGTCGTAGTCGTGCTCGTTGTAGTAGTATCAGCAGTGCTGCTGGTTGTTAGCACGGTTTCAGTAGATTCAGAGTCAGGTGAGCTAGCGTTCGTTTTCTCTGCACTTGGTGTGGTCGTTTCAGTGGGACTGCTGCTTGTTGACGGGGATTGAGTAGCTTCTGGGCTAGTTTCATTGCTGAGCTTGCTACTTGTGCTTGATGCAGTTGTCGTAGTTGTGCTCGCTGTAGTTGATTCAGTTGATTCAGCGTCACCCTTAATCTTCCGCCTGTTTCGTGAGTAGCGTTGTAATCCCTCCTCTTTGCTGCATGTGTATGCCCATGTTCTCCTCCTCCGACTTGTGCAGCTGCAAGGACAGTAGCAACGCTGTTGTGGCCACTTCTTTCTCCTGTTTCGTCTTCTATTCGGGCGTTTGCTGCGCTTAGGGGCTAGACGAGATCTGTTTTTCACGACCTGCTTTTCGGTTGAAAGCGCTTCATTTTTCAAATTGTTTACACTATCTGCTCCTTTTGGCTCCAATGCAGTCACTTCGTTCTCACCATCTTCTTTCAGACTCTTCTTCGTCTTCTTCGCATCAACTGTACCAATAAGGACGATAAACACCTTAATAATTTGAAATAAAGTAGAGAAGCTTTTTTCGATGAGAAAGCCAACTTACAGCAAATATTAACAACGGCGCCCTCATTCGGAGAGCGCCCTAGTGCAATCTTACTCGATTATATTGCGAGCGTGCAGTTAATGATTGAATGTAAAACAATAGGTGAATGCACTATCCTTTGCACATCTCTGATATGACAGATAATGAGCTTCCGAACAGAGAGGATGTTTATCCATCAATTAGAACGATGCGGTCTTTCACTTGATTCTAATTAACGTGGTATTAGTGCAATTTATCTAAGTTGCGTGTAGAGTTTGTCAAACGCTCAAATTTCATTTGTCAAATGATCGTATAACGTTCTTAGAATGTCAGTTTCTCGCTTTTTTTAGCACAAGGGTGCCAGGCTATCTCTGCTCAGTTCGAGAACATCTTCAGCGCTAATGCTATGGTAATCCGATACAATGAGTGATGAGGCTAACATATTGCGCGAAACAGCTTAACTAAAAAAATATTACATTACTACGAAAAGCGGACAGTCACTCTAGAAGTTTTTTCTACACTTGTTGTGTTTGTAGAAAAGGGGGGCATGCGCTTTTCCCTTGTGTTCTTAAAGGCTTTCAGTTTCTTCGGGGTCATTAGGAAAACTCTACAATTTACAATTTTTGGAAAAAGTCTTTATATGAAAATTATTGAAAATTATTTTCAAAAAAATTTTACGGAAAAAATATGAATTTTTGGCAGACTAAGTTTTGCTTTTTCAGTTGGCTTCTTGGAAATTACAGCAAGCGAAAACATTTGCATACTTGAACAAGGATGAGAATGACACAATGCGAATTCCCTCAAATCGCTACTAGAAAGACGAATCAGTTCTCATCGGATGCAGCATAAATCTTATCTTAGTTATTTATCTGCGAGGACTGGAGTCGTCCACTTAAACTCGCTAGAAGAAAAATTTCTGTCGACCTAATATTAAAAAAATCTGTCATCCGTCTTCAATCCGTCGAAAGTTTCTTAGCCACGTCTTTTTACGCTCAGTCTTCTATATGATCGATGAAGTGTGCCACGTATTCTGTTCAGAGTCAATACAGGAACCACATATATATATATATATATATAATAATTGTGCTTGCATAATTCATATTTGCACGATAAAAGACAGCATATTGCTTCTCATATTATCATCTTTTGAGGGTGCATCACAAGTACTGGAATAGTTAGTCAGAGAAAATTGCAAAAGTAGATATCATTGATAACATCGTTCAATTCGAATATTCTCCGTACCATGGTAGTATTGGAACGACAATATTCTTGAAATCGATTTCTGCTTGTTGGCTATGTGAAAGATTCAGTGGACGCTTTACTCATTGAAAAGTTAATTTCATTTTGCAGAATCTGGTAAGTGCACTGTTTTCATTGTGTCTAAATGCAACTCATCTACTGCGAATATTGCTGCTTCTATTTATGAAAGTGTACAGCAATTTCGTGCATGCCAGCATTGAAAGGCAACCATTCAACATCACTTTTCCTTGTTCTTAAATGAAAGTGATCATTTGTATGAAGGTCATCTCATGCAGCAAGTTTTTTTATCTAACAAAGCAGTACTCTCACTGCTTGGATGTATGTCAAGACTCCGTAATCACTTTCGGTGTAAGAGTTTCCGGTAGAACTTGGATCAGCTCTGCACAGGTGGTTTCTAAAGGGCAGGCCAGATATTACTTCAAGGATAATAAGCAAAGGAGATATCGTTTTCGCGGGTTCGGGACGGAGCAGAGCCGCAAACACAGGTACCAGCATGCCAATGCAGGAAACACGCTCTAACAGCGGTATCCTAAACGAAAAAAAGATTGGTTTATAATCAGAAAGCATAGATATGACATCCAACTTGGTGTATAGGTGCTGAATTGGGAGTTGGAATCATGTATGAAAACTGTATATATAAAAACTTATGTGAAGTGAATCCGTGGCAAACTTTTTTCAGAGTTAGCTGGCTTTACGGCGAGCTGAATGGCAGCTCGAGGTGGCCGTGAAAAGAATAAATCATAAATTTTTTTCACTCATAAAATTTTTTTCAAACTTTTTACATTCTGCTCTACACCTTACCTATCTGATGTTCTTAAATCACCGCGAACCCCCTCGTCTTCGCTTAGATACAGCCCTTCTCAAATGGAAGCAAGACTGCTCCACGGCGGACACAGCATGCCGCCCGGACAAACCATATATACACAACAGTTTTCTTTAAAACATAGACGACCGCTTGACACACATGGTGTGTCAAGCAATGACTACCGTGTGGGACCGCTTGACACACCATGTGTGTCAAGGCTTGAATTTTCGAAATGGCTACTATCCTAGGATAAACTCACTCCATGAGCTTTCTTTTGCTCTGAATCTAGGGATGACCTCTACCTTTTTTGTTAACCTTTCAGATTTACTATAGGTGTATTGTAGATGGCTGCATGCGTGATTCTAGTCGAAAAATGTGGGCTGGCCGTAAAAGGCCTTGGTCCCCGAAAGCAGACAGCTAGAAATCTGCATAGTCGGCAATGTGTTAAATGTTAAGGTTTTCAGTAATCTATTTGTTTTTGTTTCTTTTTTCTGTGAGCACCCCATATTGAATACAGAAGTGCTGTGAAGTGAAGAAGGACTTTGAATGTTAGAAATTGCTAGGATTAGTTCGGGGGGGGGGGGGGTGGTGCAGGAGGAACCAAAGGTCTGCCGCCTGTAGCCGCAGGAGATAATTGAAAGCGCGGCTGTGAAGAATATTTTGGGAGACGGCCCTTCTGAACCGCTAGCATCAGCAGCCTAATTACTGCTCGCCTCTGATTGGTCGGTGCTACCGCCGCTTGGGTAGGCGAGAGCTATGCTGTCGTTAGAGACGTCTGAATACTGCAAAGGCATTCTCATAATAAAAGAATCAAACAAGATTTCGATTCCCATGAAACTCGAGAATATTTTGGGTGGGCGGCTTAGGTAAATTTAGTTTAAACGTGCAGAATTCATGGTGTTTTGAAAACTGGGAAGAGCGAAGAAATCACGAAATGGCCTAAAAACATGCAGTCTTTCCACTTTTTCTCTTCATAATTCAAACATCCTCACTATCATTATTCGTGTGCCTCACTTGCTTTGGAATGCTCAAAATATTTGAAAACTCTGCAAGATTATAAGAAAGGCGAGATAGTTAGCGCCGCCTGGGTAGGGTAATTAGTGCTAGGACGGAGCGGTTCAGAAGGGCACACACCCCTTTCAGATATTTGGAAAACAGATTTGTAACGCAAATTGGAAGGCGCATTCATTGGGCCCAAAAGTAAGTGAAAATTTGGAATTGTAGAGGTAATAAGAGTCAACTATTATAAAAGCTTTTTATTTTGAGTTTTGAAGTTTCAAATAGTTGAAGTCCGGGTTTTCATTCAAAATTCGTTCTTTTTTCTTTGAGATGAGGGAATAGTTTGCTTTTTGAGTCAATGAACCAAAGCAATCAAAATATCATAAAAACATTTGGAGGTTTGTGTGAAGATGCAATATGCAGTTTGTCTCAATACTTGAAACCTATTCCAATTCTAGATTTTGACATTAGAGATTACATAGGATTTGCCACTGAAACTATGTCGGTAATGCTTTCGAGGTCGTACATAATAGCAAAAGTTCATCACATGCATCTCAGTCAACATCATTTCCTCATTATCACTTCATACTTTCAACTTCGAATCCAAAACTTTCACCAAAATTTCACTTAAAATCTTTCGCACAACATGATTTTGAGATTGCTCAACTTGGAACGGTGAATTTTGAAGGCACAGTTCTTGGTAAAAATATCCAGTAGCGAGGCAGAGCTGTTTATCTATCCGATAAGCGTATTATTGAAAAATGTGCATTTCAATACTGATTCCAAATCTGTTTTTCGTATCCTTTCAAGTCAATTCCAAGGAGAGTTATAAGACTTTGTTTCTAATGGATGTCCTCGCCAAGTTTTCCTGGATCCTTGCCAAAATCTTCTCCACAGCGCTCGCGCTCCTAGTTATCTCCTGCGGCTACAGGCGGCAGCCCTTTGGTTCCTCCTGCACCGCGTCCATTAGTTCGTGCCGAGTCCTGGCTTGCATCCTTTGATGGCACTGGTCAGGTTGTTTATCAAGATTTTTTTCGTTCTTCAGAGTTCCCGCCAACAGGCATCACCCCCCCCCCCCCCAGTAATCACTTCCGACCATTCCTCAACTACTTCTTGCTTAAGAGGAAAAACACTCAGCAGATAAAATATCTTACAAGGGGACGATACTCAATGTCCGTGGCCTTTCGAGACGTGATTCCTACCATTACACTCGTCTTCGAACGCTGATTCCGAATCTACCTTCCGTTTCTGCTAATCGTTTCTCTGAAAGAAGTTATGGAGGAATTTCGAGCCAAGTTTGGCTGCTCAAGGGAAATATGGTCATTGGAATGGTCTCTACCGCGGCCACCTTCTGGTCTAATGGTTAGTGCGATAGCTTTATGAGTCAATGCAGGTGTAGGTTCGAATCCTTTTGCGTTTTTACCTTTGCATTGCCTCAGTTAAGTTTGTTCCAAAAAATTTACTTGAACTATGATCATTGAATACAATTTAGCGCAAAACGTAATTATTTTTTCCAAATTTCCACATTTTTTGAAGAGTAAGGGTGTTCACTTAGCTCGATGATGCGAAAGAAGGTTAATTGAGGCAATGCAAAACTGAAAAACACAAAGAGGTTCGAACCTGCACCTGCATCAACTCATGAGGCTATCCACTAGACCACAGTGCACCAAAGGCTCCGGCGCTCTGACCGTATTTCACTGGGCAGCCAAAATCCGCGCGATCCATTATAACACCTTTGAAGCGATTAGCAGAAACAGAAGTCAGATTCGGAATCAGTGTTCCAAGACGAGTGTAATGGTATACAGCTCATCACAAAAGGCCACGGACACCGAGTATCGTTTCCTTGTTAGAGCTTTTCGCAGCTGGGCAGATTCAGACGCGAGCCGTATGAGGGAATGTCAACATCAAACCTCAAATCTGCTTTGACCTTGACTAGGTAAGCCGCACGGAACTCAGGTTGTGATCGATGTCTCAGTCACTGTTG